GGAAGGAGTTGTGAGTGTTGGGCGTTTTGTGGGTCATGAGGGGGTGGGTGGTGGTGGTGTTGGATGTTGGTGGGTAGGTGGGCAGGTGCAGACCGACAGTGGATGGACGAGCCCCCAAGGGAGAGAACAGCGAGGAGGGACCATGGGGTGCTGACAAACAGGTCTCCTGGTGTCTGATGCTTGGATGCCCCATGAGCTCCAGTCCATAGATGGAGAAATTGAGGCAGGAGGCGAGGGAAGTGCAGGGGTCACAGCTGGCTGATGTGACCAGAGAGAGAGCGTGAGGGCAGGAGTCCTCTCCTGGGGGTCCGGGAGATGGTGGGCAGCGCTGCAGCTGTGAGCCTGCAGGGGGGCACAGGGCGGGGGGGGGGGAGGGGGCGGACAGGGACGGGGAGTCAGGGGGACGGCGGCCAGCTGGTCAGCTCTCTGGCTCATGTGCGGCGGGTGGACGCCAGCATTTCTGAGCCGCTTCTCCAGACAGCGAAGGGAATGAACCTAGAGGCCACGGAGAAGGCCCAGGGGACTGTGCCCACGCACATCCACTCGCTGGACCTGCACGGGGCCCGCCTCCCGAGACAGACCCCCGCAGGGAAGCATTCTGAACTCAGCCCACAGCTGGCCAGGGTCCTGCGGTGCCTCCCTGCCCAGGCTGCACAGCGCCCGGCCAATCCCCGGGTCCCGGCCCTCTGACGTCACAGCGTTCAGCCAATCCCTGGGTCCAGGCCCTCTGACGTCACAGCACCTGGTCAATCCCCAAGTCCAGGCCCTCTGACGTCACAGCACCCAGCCAATCCATGGAGCCCGGTCCTGGAATGTCAGTGCCGGCCAATTCCCAGGTCCTGGCCCTAGGACGTCACAGTGCCCGGCCAATCCTGGGGCCCGGCTCTCGGACATCACAGGGGACCTGGCCTATCCCAGGGGCCCAGCCTAGACATCACCGCGACCAGCCAATCCCTGGGTTCAGCCCTCTGGCGTCATATGGGCCCTGGCCACTTCGTAAGGCCTGGCCCTCTGCAACGTTACTCAGCACCCGCTGATCCTGGGGCTTGTCCCTCTGGTCACATAGGGCTGGTGCAGGCCTGCTGACCTGACCTGCCCCGGCTCTGCAACCTTTGCAGCCTTGCGTGGAGAGGTGGCGGTCAGGCGTGGGACAGCACCGGGCTCCAACCTGGCTCCTGGGCCCACCGTGAGCCGGTGCTGTCTGCCCATTGTATGGACAGGGAAACTGAGGCTTTCCAGTGGGTAGAGGGGTGGAAACGAGCGCAGTCCTGCGGCTCCACCCGGAACGTGGTCAGCCTGTGGCCGCAGGGCCCCTCACGCTGTGCAAAGGCGTGGATGGCCAGTGCCAAACGGTACCAGAGGCGAAGGGCCAGGAGCAGCCCAGGAAGGTCCAAGTGGGAGGCATCATCCCGAAGGGACCCTCTGGGACTCGGACGTCCTGCCCTAAAGTCAGCGGTGTGGGCAGCAGTAGGCTACAGCAGCCCCGAGCCGGCCTGTGGGTGATGGGAGCCCCTGAGGCAGGGACCCTAAGGCAACAGGGACCCCGGAGGGAAGGGACACCCAGGTGACGGGGTCCCAGAGCTACGGCAGACGTCCTGGCCAGTGGCCGGCCCCAGTGGTGCTCCTACCCCACGCCCGACCCCCATTTCTAGGCACTACCTCTGCGGGCCTGATGGGGGCGCGCTCCCCGGTCCCCGTGGCACGCAGGCGGCCCCGCCGGCCACCGTGTCTGGGGCAGGAGCTAGCCAGAGCTCTGGTCAGTTTAAGGCTGCGAGAGGGGAAACTGAGGCCCAGGGGGGACCACACGCACACCTGGTCGTGCCTCTTGCCCCCCTGGGCCCAGCCTGAGGGACGGGACCAGAGACACGCTGCCAGGGCTGGGTCCCTCCTGCCCCAGCCTCGGGACCAATTCACCTCTCAGAGCCGGTCTGAGATATTAATTAAGATAAATCTACCTCAATTTTGAGATTCTCTTATCATGTAATTTATCAAAATTATGTTAATTATTTCTGTAGGGCAGCAAAATTATTACCTCTTTTGTGTCTGATTTGTATTAATATTCATAATTTAATAATTCAGCACCCTGACCATCTGCTCGGGAGAGCCTAGCACAACCTTCCACCGCCGTCCCTGGCGTTGGCAGACACGGCCCGTCCCCCTGTCCCCGCTGCCTCCCTACCTGCCATCCTGGGCACCGCGTGGGCCCTCTGAGCCACGGTCCCCAGGGCCACCCGCCACCACTGTGGACACGACCCTGCCCGGCCCGGTGGCCCTGGGCCTGCCCTGCCCCCGCTCAGGTAGGCACCGCCACCCTGCTTGGCAGGTGAGGGGAGCTGAATTGACATTTTCCACACTTGGTGAGTTTTACACTGTAATTTGACATAATTAATGCTTACATTACTGCTGATAATTTAGCTAGTTAATTAAACTCGGAGGAGATAATTAAGGAAAGGCTACTGCTTGGATTGCTAATTGTTTTTGTCATTATTTCAGGGGCCGACAGCTGCCGGCTGAGTCATCCTGCTTTGTCAGCTGACAGGTCATGTGACGCAGGGTCCCCTGGGGCCCCCCACTTCCAGGGGAAGGAGGCCTGCAGAAGTCTACCTGGCTCCTGCCTGGAGCCCTGCCAGGCCTGCGAGTGGGCGAGCCAGCCTCTCCCCTGCCCCCCTCTCCTCCGCCCTCCCCCCTGCCCCACCCCTCCCTGCCAGGTGAGCCCCCACCCTGGTCTCTGCCCCCTTTCTGCCAAGAACTCAGCCTTGTGGACCCCATCCGGGCCCAGGCTCGAAGCCCAGTCGCCACAGCCACGGTGGGTCACCTGAGGCAGGACCGGGCTGGGGGTCCCACGTAGCAGGCTCTGGGGGAGGGGAGGCAGGAGCTGGGGGGAGTAGCTCTCTACCTCTGCCGCCATCAGCCGGGCACAGAGGAAGGGCAGGGGAGGCCCACCAGACGGCGGCCACTGTGCTGGGCAGGGGCTGTGCCCAGGGGGCAGCAGAGCGGGAGGCAGGGATGGTGACCTAGGCCCAGGCTTGTGGGGGGACTCGCTGATGGCATTGCCCCCAGCACTCAGTCCAGCCACATCCTTGGGAAAGGGGGTGGGACACATGGCCAGTTTGGGTGGGGCGCGGAGCCTGACCCTGGCTGTGGACCTCCAGCCTGGAATGCTCCATCCTGGCTGTCGGTGCCCAACCACTGAGCTCTGCAAAGCGGAACCAGCCCACTGTGGGGGGAACAGCCGCGGGAAGGGACCACTCAGGGCTGCTCCCAGGCCCTCTCTGGGGACCAGAGGCCAACGTCCACGTCACAGGCCTTAGAGAAAACTAGAGGAGCCATAGAGCCCGGCCGGGCCCATGGGAGGAGGGGTCCTCGCCCAGAGGGACTGGCGAGCTTCTGGGGGACTTGGACCCACAGACCCACAGGCAGCCACAGAGCTCACGAGGCAGCAGCAGAGCTCTCTGGACTGTGACTGCACCCGGGACGGAGCCTGGTCTGGCTCAGAGTGGCACCAGAGCCCTCTGCTCTAGGCCAGAGGGACGGGAACGTCCACTCATTGCTCCACAGCCTCACGCCCTCGCCTGCTCCCACTCCCACTGTCACTCACATTCACTCCCTCAGACACACACTCGCTCTCACACTCCCTCAGACTCACACACACTCTCCCTCAGACTCACACTCGCTTTCACTCACACTCCCTCAGACACACTCGCTCTCACACTCTCTCGGACTCTCACACCCCCGCTCTCCCTCACACTCCCTCAGATGCTCACACACTCGCTCTCCCTCACACTCCCTCACCCCTACACTCGCCCACCTGCTAGAGGCTGTCCAGGTGGGATTGTCACCTGGGAAGTTGCAAACATCTGCACTCAGGTACATCCAGGGGTGTGAGGAGCTGAGGGGAGGCTCTGAGGAGACAGGGCTGAGGCACAGCGGGAGGGAGGACGAGAAGGGACAGAGAAGGAGGGGGGCTGGGGGGCGGGCAGGACCCCACGCACTCCCCAGCTCTCACCCCATGCAGAGACTCCCAAGCATCTGCAGAGCCAGACTGCGCCTCCCGTCCCCACTCCTGAGTCCTGATGCGGGCTGGTCAGCAGTGACGGCCCCACCCGGCCCCGGCCTCAGTGTGGTCCTCAGGGCTCCTGGGGGGCTGAGCCCTTCACCTCCAGCAAGACGTGGGGGGCACAGGCTCCCAGCCCCTTCCTGCCTGGTCCCACGTGGGCGTCCCAGGGAAGCGTCCCAGGGCTTGTCATGGGATCTGGGGGACGCAGCTGACAGCGCCTCTCGCCTCAGTTTCCCCAGCTGAACCTGGAGCGGCTTTGAGCACTGGCTCTCTGCCGCCCTCTGGTGGGCAGGAGTCCACACTACAGCACCTCTGTCGACGAGGACTGACGCGGCGCCCCAGGCCAGGTCCTGGCACCCGCGACCTCAGCCACTGAGCAATGAACAACGTGGTATGTGCTCAGGCTCCAGGGGAACACTCGACCGGGGCCCCCACTTTGGGTCCTCAGAGGCTTCCCCGTCGCTCAGTGGCTGCAGGTTGCCCCAACGACGGCTTCTGAGGGGTGAGTCACCTCCAGCCCATTCTGTGCCAGGGACCCTCAGGCCCAGGGGCACGTCAAGACCAGAGGTCCACATGGAGGCCTGGGGCTGCGCTGACAGCTTCTCTGCCTGGGAAAGGCCCCCGGCACCCCACCCCCCATAGCACCCCCATTCTCTACCCGCACCACTCCAACACCCCCACAGCACACACCCTCCACAGCACCCCCACTGGGCTGACAGAGGGATGTGGGGGACACACTGGCACAGGGGTGAGGCACTGGCCTTGCACACAGCCATCCCCACTCACTCCCTCCCTCACTGCATGTTCCCAGATGAGCAGAGGCCAGTGTGACCCAGAAACGCCCCCAGAAGGGAGGAGGGAGAGGGTCCCAGCACAGGGCCAGCATCTTTATTGAGGCCCCGAGGGCGGGTACAGGTGCCCCCGCTTGGGGCTCACTTGAGGCTCACTCGGGGGTTTTGGTTCTGCCTTTCAGGGACCAGAAGCGGGACCGACGGGACTTGGGCTTCTTCCTCTGGTCCCCACTGCTCCTCTGGAGGTCTGGGGGGTAGGGGGCAGCACTGCTCAACAACGCGCCCCTTTCCCCAATGTGCCCAGGCCCTGGGGGCCCCCCCACCCCGGGCTGGAATGAACTGCGTAGGCCCCGCCCCCTGCCCCCGTGGCCCCTTACCCAGTGTGTCGATCATGTTCTGTAGCACCGTGTCTTCCTCTTGCTCTCTGCAATGTAGTCCCGGAGGCTTGAGGCCAGGGCCCCCCCAGCCAAGAGCTGCACCCCACATACCCGTAACAAACACTTCCCCCACGTGCCCAGGCCCTCTGCAGCGTCTCACCCCGGCCTGAGACAAGGGCACAGAGGGGCTGGAGAGATAGCACAGCGAGTAGGGCGTTTGCCTTGCATGTGGTTGACCTGGGTTTGATTCCCAGCATCCCATATGGTCCCCTGAGCACTGCCAGGAGTAATTCCTAAGTGCATGAGCCAGGAGTAACCCCTGTGCATCACCGGGTGTAACCCAAAAAGAAAAAAAAAACAGACAGGGCACACAGAGGGGACGTCTGCTAGGGGATGGCTGGAGGGGGAGGAACACGCACAGACCCTCAGCCTGGCACTTCCACACTCAGGGCCCAGAACACTCCAGGGTGCAGCTTCGGGGACCAGCAGACGAGCTGGGGGCCAGGGTGAGGGGTCACGCCTGCAAATACACCCGGTTCTCCCTCCCGCTGCTGGGCTGGGCCTGGCGTCCCTTCACCAGCAATCACTGACCTGAGCCGGTCCTCATCCAGGAAGTCAATGATGTCGCTGCGCTCGTTCACGGTGCTCACGTACTGGCCCAGCAGGTCCTGCTCCCGCTTCCGGTCCTGGGGTGACTTCAGAGCTTCTGCAGGGAGGGGGACGGGGAGCTGCCATCAGTGGAGTCCACTGTCCCCACCCTGCATGGGAACACAGGGTCCCAGGAGGGGAGGAGTAAGGAGAGGGCAGAGTGGTGAGAGGGGAAGGAAGAGGAAGGGGTGAAGAGAAAGGGGAGATAAGGGAGGGGGGGAGGGGCGCAGGGGAGAGGGGTGGGTGAGAAGGGGGTGATGGGAAGAGGAGAGGGGAGAAGGAGGGGAGAAAGAAGAGTGCAGGGGGAAGAAGTGGGGAGACAAAGGGTGAGTGGGGATGAGTGGGTGAGTAGGGGTGAGTAGGAGTGAGTTGGGGGTGAGGAAGTGGGTAGGAGTAAAGATGAGCAGGGGTGGGTAGGGTGAGGGGGTGAGGTGAGGGATTGAGTGGGGATGAGTGTGGTGGGGGGATGAGTAGGGTTGAGTAGAGTGGGGTGAGTGCAGAGAGGAGGGTGACTAGGGTTGAGTGGGCATGGCTGGGGTGAGTAGGGGTGAGTGGGGTGGGGTGAGTGGAGTGAGTGTGGTGAGTAGGGGCGAGGAGGGTAGGGGGTGAGGGGAGTGGGTGAGCGGGGTGAGGGGTGAGCAGGGCTAGGGTTGAGCAGGGGTGAGTGGGGTGAGGGGTGAGTGGGATGAGCGTGCGAGCGGGATGAAGGGAAAGTGGGTGAGCGGGGTGAGCGGGGTGAGGGATGAGCAGAGGTTAGTGGGTGAGTGGGGTGAGTGGGAGAGCAGGGGTGAGTGGGGTGAGGGGTGAGCAGGGGTGAATGGGTAAGTGGGATGAGTGGGAGAGCAGGGGTGAGTGGGTGAGCAGGGTGAGGGGTGAGCAGGGGTGAGTGGGGTGAGGGGTGAGTGGGGTGAGTGTGTGAGCAGGGTGAAGGGTAAGTGGGTGAGCGGGGTGAGAGATGAGCAGAGGTTAGTGGGTAAGCGGGAGGAGTGGGTGAGCAGGGTGAGTGGGAGAGCAGGGGTGAGTGGGGTGAGGGGCAAGCAGGAGTGAATGGGTGAGTGGAGTGAGTGGGAGAGCAGGGGTGAGTGGGTGAGTGGGGTGAGGAGTGAGCGGGTTGAAGGGGTGAGCAGGGGTGAATGGGGTGATTAGGGGTGAGGGGTGAGCAGGGGTGAGTGGGTGAGCAGGGTGAGTGGGAGAGCAAGGGTGAGGGGTGAGTGGGTGAGCGGGATGAGTGGGGTGAGGGGTGAGTGGGATAAGTGGTGAGCGGGGTGAGGGGCAAGCAGGGGTGAATGGGTGAGTGGGGTGAGTGGGGTGAGTGGGAGAGCAGGGGTAAGGGGTGAACAGGAGTGAGGGATGAACAGGGTGAGGGGTGAGCAGGGTGAGGGGTGAGGGGTGAGCAGGGATGAGTGGGGCGAGCAGGGGCGAGGGCGTGAGGAGAGCGCCCAGTGAGCACTCCCAGACTGGCCCCGAGTGCGGTGTGGGGCGTGAGTGGGCGAAGCCAGGCGGAGACCGAGGCGCCCACAGGCCCTTGGACGAGACGCACCCGGCATGGCCATCAGGGTCCGCAGCTCGTCCTGCAGGTTCAGCTGCCGCTGTTCCAGGCGCTGGTCCCTGGCCCTGCGGGGGCTGGAGTGAGACCAGGACGGGGGACATGGAGGGACGGGGCAGGTGACCCCGCAGCCCCAGCCCTGGCACCCACTTGTACATCAGCTCCGACTCCAGCCGCAGCAGTAGCTGCTTCTCGTGGATGAGGTGGAACCACTCAACCATGAGCGCGTCCTCGGAGGGGTCTGCGGGACAGGGGGCTCCTGAGGCCAGTGGAGAGGGAGGCAGCGGCAGGGAGAGGAACAGGGACAGGGACAGGGACAGGGGGCCGAGGGTGGGGTCCGGGCCGCCTCACCCCCCTCGGCTGCCCGCAGGCGCTGCTCCAGCCCCACGCCAGTGCGCTCCAAGGCGTCCAGCTGGTTCCCAATGGCCTGGACCTGCCTCTGGATCTCGGCGGGTGGCAGGTAGTCGGCGGGCAGCTGTGGACGGCGGGGTGAGCAGCAGTCGGGGGGCAGGCCCGGGGCTGCCCCCAACCCCATGGGCTCTACTCACCCTGACCGGGGAGGTCGTGGCCTGGCCTGTGGGCGTGGGGGAGGTCCCTGTGGGGTGGTGGGTCAGTCAGGCCCACAGACCGGACGCGGCCCCTCCCAGGCCCCACCCCATCCTCAGTTGGGTGCTGGTCGAGGCTGGGGTTCCAGCAGCCCCTCCCTCGGCAAATTCCCCCCCAAACGTGCCACGTGACCAGGCGTGCCCTGGCAGACCTGAGTCCCCCCGGGGCTGGGGCTCCGTCCTCTCCTGCTGGCCGCTGGGCTTGTGCTGGATCCAGTCTTCCGAGAGTCTCAGGCCGGGGGACACCAGCAGCTTCCTGCGCGGGGCGGGGCCCGGGGAGGCAGCTGGGGGCAGAGGGCGCTCAGAAGAGGGTCCAGCAGATGCCTGGCCCGTGTCCCTCCTTCACCCTGGCCGCCCAGGGACAAGGCAGATCCATGTCCCAGCTGGGCACAAAGGTCAGGGCCTGAGGGTGGATGGCAGCTCCAAGTCCAAAGTGCGGGGAGGATGGGCAGGTCTGAGGATGGACAGTGTCTTCCTCCCCCCAGTCTGCTCCAGAGTGGCCGCAGGCCCTGTCAGCACCTACCTGGGGGTCGGGACCCAGGGTCAGCTGGCCGCACAGGGGTCAGGGTGATGTGGGCGTCCCCCTTGGGGCTCCCCAAGAACTTCCGGGGCACCTCACTGGCCTTCGCTGGCTCCTTCACCTCCAGAGTCCTGGACGGGGCAGGGGCAGGCACAGGATGAGGCTTGGGGTGAATTGGCCATGGACTTGAACCCTGGCCCCCAGAACAAGGCAGCTTGGACGTGTGAGGGGCATGAACACGCCAGACCTCGAGGACCAGGAGCCCACAACTCCTGAACCCAGCCGAGGTGGGAGTGCACTGCCCACTGTCCATTCCCCCGAGGACGACTCCCAGAGTCCACTCTAAGGATGGCCCCCAATGTCCAGTACCCTGAGGATGGTCCGGTCCCCCGTGTCCACTCCCCTGAGGACGACCCCCAGATTCCACCCGTCCATGGACACCTAGCGTCCATCCCCCCTATGGACCCCAGTGTCCACTTCCTTGAGGATGGCCCCAGTATTCAGGGAGATTCCCAGGTGCTGGGACAGCAAGGTCCAGCATGCCAGCACTGTGCCCGGCACTCAGGGCAGCAGAGGGCCCTCCCCTCCCGATCTGCTGCAGGTGGATGGGGCACTGGGGCCTCACCTCCCCGCTGGACCCTTCTGCACAGGCTTCAGACGGCTCCTCCATGCCGCAGGGTCCTCCTCACTTGCTGCAGGGCTGCCCCCGGGGCCTGACAGCGCAGGAGACATCAGGGTGGTCGGGGCTGGGGGACCCCACCGCCCTCTCTGGGCCCCCACCAGCCACACTGACCCTTTGCCAGTGAGGCTTCGGGCTTGGGCCTGGCGCTGGCACTGTCCACCTCCATGGTCCCCCGGCTCCCGCCTGCTGCAGGGGAGATGCCCACCCTTGGGGGCACAGATGACTGAGTCTTCCCGAGAGCACCGAGGGCCTGGGAAGACCGGCTGGCCACTGGACTTGCTCGTGGCCCCTTCGCTGAGCCAGGGTGGGAATCTGAGGCCGTGGAGGGCCGGGGGGTGCTGTGGGTGACAGCTGGCATCAGGCACGGGCTGAGACAGGAGCAAGGGGGTGGCCGGTCTCCGTGCACCCCGTGGAGGAGCGGGCAGCGGCGCCCGGGGAGGCTAATGTGACCCGCTGGACAGGGAGCCGAGGCAGGTGCTGACACAGACCCAGACCAGGGAGCCCCCACACCCACCCCTCCACAAAGGCCTTCCTGTGGGGCCCCAAGGACGGGGCAGCAGGTGGGGAGCCAGTCCCTGTGTGAAACTCGCCCATGGGGCCACGTGCACGGCCCTTAGGAGGAGACGGGGACGGGGTGCCCCCCCGCCTCCCTGGGGCTGAGGATGTTAGAGCCCCTCCCCATCCTCCGCCCTCCTCATGGCACCTCGGCTTCTGCCCGCTGCTTGCCCACACCTGCCTGTGGGAGGGCCCGACGGGCAACCCAGGACGTGCCCTCAGCCCCTCACCTGGCATTGCCGGGTCCTGGCAGGGCCTTTTGGAGGAAGCTCAGCGCCTGCTCCCGGGAGGGGCCCGGGGCTGCTGGCGTCTGCATGAATCTCTCCCGGGCCCCCTGTGTCCTGGAGGCTGATGGGGTCCAGGCCGGGGCAGACGTGGGGCTCGGAGACACAGGGCTCCGACCGGAGTCCAGGCTGTGGGGGGTCACCACCGGGTGCGGGCCGGGCACTGCTGCGCCCTGTGCTGGCGCCGGCCACCCTGCCGGGCATCTGTTGGCCACGGGGGTGCTGCCGGTGCCGGACGAGGGGAGCCTGGGCTCTGGGGTGGGGGTGCTGCCCCGAGCCGGCTCAGGCCCTGCCTCTCCCCCCCTGCCAGCCCGCCGTGGGGCGCTGGCAGCCAGGGGTTCCGTGGGGACGGTCCCCCGTGGCCCGGCGTCCGTGGCTCTGGGCTGATGGCTGGTGCAAATGAAGACGCCCGGCTCCCCCGTGGTCCGGTAGCTCCCGGCGTGCAGGGTGCTGGAGCAGATGGAGCACCTGTAGGGGTGCGAAGCTCAGCCCCGCCCCGCCCTGCCCCGCCCAACCTGGCCACCGAGGGGTCCCGCGTCCCACCTGAAGCAGCTGCGGTGGTAGAGCCGCCCCTCGACCAGGTAGCGCTGCACCAGGTGCACCTGCCGCCCGCAGATGCCACACGCGCTGCTGACCGGACTGCCCCCAGCACGGCCCTGTGGGGCAGGGGGGAGGGGCTGGTGAGGGCAGGGCCGGGCAACGAGGCCTAAGGGCTGCCTCCAGGGCTGGGGGGCCCTCAGTTTGCCCATCTGTACAGGGGTCACCTCCTCCCACACCGCAGGGAGAAGCTTGGGGTGCTTACGGCCTTCGGGGGGGGAGGGCCCTCTGCTCCCTGCTCCTTCTTCTGCTGGGTGCTGTGGGCATGGGGCTTTGTCTGGCCTGGACTGATGGGCTGGGCCAGCACTTTCTTTCCAGAAGGTTCTGCATCTGGATCCCCCAAAGACCGCTTCACACCGGCCATACCGCCGACTGGAAAAGACCAGGGGAGTGGGTGCCCCTGGCCACAGCCCCTGAGCCCTGGACGGGGTTCAGACAGGTGCTGGGCTGGGGGACATGAGGGAGGAAGGACGTAGCATCCCCCCAGCCCCACCTGGAGGCACCATCTGCCGTGGTGTCCAGGGCCAGGCCTGGATGCCCACAGCAGACCCCCAAAGCCCCGAGATGGGGGGCTTCTGCAGCGAGACAGCCACGGCACCCGTGGGTTTGAAAAGTCTCCAGGGACCCACACGCAGCAAGGTGTGTGTGCGTGTGTGAGTGTGAGAGTGTAACAGCATCTGAGTGTAAGTGTGTGAGAGTGAATGTGAGTGTAAGTATGAGTGTGAGGGTAATAGCGTGTGAGTGTAAGAGCATGTGTGCATGTGTGATGTAAGAGGTAAGAGTGTGTGTGTGTGTATGTCAGTGTGTGTTTGTGTGTGTGTATGTGAGCATGTGGGGGGCAGGCAGGCAATAGGTACAAAATGGGGGTGTGTGCAGGGGGCATGTGTGGGAAGGTGCTGGGTGCCTGTTGGCTACTCACACACACATACCATGTCAGGGTCACTCACTGGGCACCCCACTCCCCATGCTGGGGTCACTCACTGGGTGCCCGTCCATGGAAGTAGTTGTAGTACTGAGACACATAGGTCAGGATACTCAGCCGGTCAGGCACCTTCAGGGCCACCATGTCCTCTGCGTCCAGCAGGGCCGGGATCCCCAGTTCCTCCTCCGCCACCTGGAATGCCTGGGGGAGGTCCTTTCAGCACCCCTATCCCGCCCCTTTCGCCAGGGAAGGGTCGGGGCAGGGTCTGGGCAGGGACACAGACCAGAATGGGGCAGGGACATGGGGCCAGGAGGGGCAGGGCAGGGACAGGCCAGAGGCGGGGCAGGGCCAGGGCAGGGCTGGGCCCTCATAGGTGGACAGTGCTGAGCAGCTGGGCGGGCTCTCACCAGCTTGTTGTTCTCATAGACATTCTCCTTCCGGAGGGCATCGTAGTTGCTGGAAAACAAGAGAATGCATGCCTGAGCATCTCGGAGTCAGGAAGGAGGCATCAGTGAGGAGCGGGTGGACAGAGGGCCCAGAGCCACCCACCAGAAGGCCCACCACAGGAGTGTCCAGCTCTGGGAGGTGACCAGCACACGGAGGTGGCAGGGCTGGAGGCTTGAGGGTGCTAGATCCCAAGGGTGAGTGAAGGGTGGACCGGACTTCACAACTATACACACATGCACACTCACATGTGCAGACAGTCACACACCACTCACACACGTGCAGTCACACCACATTCACATACACACCTACAGTCACATACCACTCACATACATACATGTGCACAATCACACACGTGCAGTCACACCACACTCACACACTCATGTGCACACACATACTCACATGTGCACACACAATTACACCACTCACATGCACACTCACATGCAAACACATGTGCACACAGTCACATACAACACTCACACACACTCAAATGCACACACATACTCACATGTGCACACATGATCCCACACCACATTCTCACACACATCCACACACTTACATACCACTCACATACATTCACAGTCACATACACACTCACACACAGTTGTGTGTATGGTCACACTCCATACTCACATGAACACACATACTCTCTTGCACACACTCATGTGCACAGTCACACGCATGCGCACTCACACATGCATACACTCACAAGTCACACATACATGTACACACACAAAAACACACATGCACAGTGGCACAACAGTCACACTCCACACTCACATGCACCCACACATACACACACGTGACACACAATCACCGTCACACACATTCGCATGCACGCACACTCCCGCACAAAGGTTTGCATTCTGGTGTGAATGGACTCTTCTGAACAGACCTTTGGGCCTTAACCCTTCTCGCACCAGGAACCACCACACGGGGGTCCCCAGGAAGGCGAGACCCCTAAGGCGATGGAGGCAGCTGCCCTCATAAACACCCTCCCAGGAAACACATTCAGATGCTTCTGCAACCGTCCAAGAGCACTTGGGGGCTCTGTGCCAACCGGATGGCGGGGCTGCCTCCAGGAGGGCAGGCCGCCTTCGCGCAGCTGGGCACCTGCGTCCAGGGCCCGTGGGGACACTGGCCAGCACTGCTGTCTGGCTCTGTTGGTCTTCCCAGAGTCTCACAGTCCGTGTGGGGGGGGCTAGGCCACTGACAGCCCCATGCAAGTGCAAGAACAGCACCACACACTGACCCGCCGTCCCTTCAGGGACCTGCAGGAACTGCCCCTGACCCCACAGCTGTGGGAGCCCCAGGCCTGCACCTCTGGAGCTCACCCAGGGCCCCATGACCATCTCTGCAGGAAGCTGGAGTCCCGAGCTCGGCATCCCCACCCCTACCCAAGGGCACAGACCCCAATGACCGCATGCTCAGGACCTGGGCTACTCTGCAGCCACCAGCCACAGCCAGCCACGCTCAGCCACTGTGTGCCCCCTGCACTGTGGTCCCTGAGGGATGCCCCCTCTCCACACTGGGGGGGCCTGGGATGCCCCCTCCACATTCCAGGGCTCTGGGGGAATGTCCCCCCTGTTTACATTCCAGTGTCCTGGGGAGTGTTCACCCTCCATGTCTGGGGGATTTGGGAAATGCCCCCCCCCTCCCTTCACATTCCAGGGCCTGTGGAATGTTCCCCTTTCCACATTCCGGGGAGCCCTGACCTCACTCCCTTTCCTGTAATCCCCTGCCCCCCCCAACCGTGCTCCCCCGGGCAGCCTCAGGGGGTCCTGTGTCCAGCACATCTGGAGCCAACTCTACCTGGCAGGGAGCTGGGGGGAGCGGGGACAGACAGGCCACCCAGAGTGAGGATGCAGGAACACTCCTGCAAGGCTGCAGGGTGGGGGGGCGGGAGGGCGGGGGAGGCCTGGGAGGAAACAGGGCTGGGTTCAGCAGGACGGGGTGACCATGCTGCAGAGGAGCCCCACTGCTCGCAGCCCTGCTGGCCAGCTGCAGGTGGGGTCTCCGGACCCCAGAGCAGCCCAGGAACCCTCCTCGCAGCTCCCTCTCTGTCAGCCTGTATGTCTGCAGGGCCAGGAAGAACACAGCCGCAGGCACCCGTCAATCTGACACCCCTTTGTGAGAGTTGCTTGGGACGGCCCCACCCCAAGTCTGCCCGGAAGGGCCACTCAGCGCCTTCTTTCTCCCGCCTCCTCGCCTCCGGGCAGGGCCTGTTTGTCCAGGGTGGCTACTTACTCATGGCCCGCAAATGTGGCCACTGGAGAGCAGCCCCTGGCCCTTCCCTGAGAGCCCAGCACCCCACCCCGGACTCCGGCACGGCCGCAGAGGTGGGGCGGACACTCTTCTGGGGCTAAAAGGAAGCAGGGGACAAAGGCTCCCACATCCTGGAGACCAGCCGGGGACAGGGGGCAGGATGTGCACTTTCCTGGAGTAAGGGTCCTTCCAGAGGCCAGCCAGGCCGCCAGACCCGGACCCTGGGATCACCCAGAGACTCTGCCCCACAGCGAGAACCCCTACCTCTGGCCGCTGGCACCCACGTGGGCGTCCCATGTTCACTCTGCAGCCCTACATGCCGGGGCAGGCACAGCCTGGGAAGGCCCCAGTCATGCAGCTACTGGACGGGGACAGGCCCTTTGCCCCCACCAAGACGCAGATGCTGGCTCCGTCCCAGCCCTTCCGCCCGACCCTGCAGCTGATGGGGCTGAAGCCTCTGTGGCACCTCACCCTGGGTGTTGCCCCAACAAGGCTTTCATTGTCCAGCCTCACACAGGGCAACTGGACTGCCCCATACGCCTTCCAGAGGCTGGGGCGGGGCCCCAGGGTGCAGAGCTCGCCCAGGGGTCAGTGTTTGAGTGTTTGTGGGGTGCCTCAGGGATGGGGCCCGGCTGCAGTTCACCTCCTGGGTGCTCAGCGATGGGGGTCCAATCGGCTGAAGCCTCAGACAGGATGGGGGGATGAGGGGCCCTGGTACTCCCCTGAAGCATGCACGGGCCAGGGCTGGGCAGGAGACCCGGGGGCTCCCGAGGGCATCGGGCAGGCCTTTCCCAAGGAAGAAGAGGACTGAGTCACACGCACTGACCGCTGGGGCCAGCTCCACTTGCTGGACACGCAAACTCTCCGAGGCTGGGCCGGCCTCGGTTTCCCCGCGGAGACCCGCGAGCACTCACATGAGGTCCGGCCGGTGGCGGTGCAGAATGGCACAGAAGGCCAGGCCGTCGCGGAAGGACGTGGTCATGTTGGTGATGCTCACGTCCCGGTAGCCCTCACATTGCTGCCGGCACCACTGCTGCAGCGCCCTGATGGCGGCCATGCGGCTCTCGGGGCCCCCCACGCGCGGACACGCCGCTGCCGAGTGCCGGACAGCGCACAGCGGGCGACGCCGGCCGAAGTCCGCCGCGGGCCCCGCCCCCTCAGGCCCCGCCCCCGCGCTCTGCGCCGCTGATAGGCCCCGCCCGACTGGTCCCGCCTCCCGGAGGCCACGCCCCCTCGCTCTGCAACGCTGATAGGCCTCGCCCAGCAGTCCCCGCCCCCTCAGGCCCCGCCCCCGCACTCCGCGCCGCGGATAGGTCCCGCCCGGAAGGTCCCGCCCCCAGCACGCCCCGCCCTCAGCACCCGAGTCCCGGGTAGGACCCGCCAATCCGGTTCCCACCTCCCCGCCCCCCCACCCGCCAAGTCCCTCTAAGGGTTCTGATAGGCTGCGGTTCCGAGCGGCCAGGCCCCGCCCCTTGAGGCCCCGCCCCAAGACTAGGCCACGCCCCCGGCACGCCCCTGCCAGGGACCCCGCATGCCTACCCGGGCCGGTCCCCTCTTTGGGTCGTCCCCCGCCCTCCGGAACGGGAAGTTCACGCAACGGGAGGAACTGGGTCTTTCGCGGCTTCCTGGGTTGAGAGGCCGGCGCGGGGCCGGGGCTGCTGGGACCTGGCGGGAGCGCCCCAGGCCTGGGTTTTCCGAGAACTTTGTCATAGGGCGAGGCCGGCCCCGCGCCTGGCCTTGGGGCTGCAGGGGACGGAGGGGTGCGGTCACCTCTGCTTGCCTGCTGGGTGGGGGGGCCGGTGCCCAGATGCCCCTTGTGTCTCCTTCCTGGGGTGGGATGAGGCCACAAACGCCCTCCAGGGATGTGGGATGACTGGGCCTGGCCAGGCCCCAGACTTGTCCAGGCAAGACAAGGACAAGGTGCTTTCCTACGGGCAGCCCCTGGCAGGGTGACTCTGTACTCACAGGTCAGAGTGGCCGAGGCACCCCAGCGCCTTCCTGCCACCCAGTCAAGTCAGAGCTGCTGCCCGCTGCCTCGGAAGGCAGACCGTTGACCCGGGGCATTCAAGTAGGGGCTCTACAGTGTCAGGGCAGCTGCTGGCCTGGGGATTCCCCCCCCACCCCGCGAGACCTTGGAACCAGGGTGTCTGTGGTCCCCAGGGAGGCCACGGGGATCTCAGGTGGGCGAGGGCCCAGAGGCTCCCCATCACCACAGTCTCTCGTCTCCCAGTGTGCCCACATCTCTCCTGTCTGGGCCATCGCAACCCAGGCCACCCTTCCGATAGCCAGGAACCCTTCTGGGAAACCAGCTGGAGCAGACACACCCTGCCTGCCTGAATGGCCTCCCAGAAGTGTCTGAATAAAGTCCAGTCCTTATCACCTGCCACTCCCTGCCCCCCACCCCCCACTTTCTGGCCTCATCCCCAGCACCTCAGGACCTGCTCAACAGCTGACACCACATGGGCCTTACTCTGGGGCTCCCCAGGGCGGCTTGGTGGGGCTCCATCACCCTGTGAGACGTGCATCTACCTGTCCAGCAGGGTGACCAGTGGCATGTGGGCACCGTATCCTCCCCTTGTCCCCTCTGCCTCCCCTAGGGTACCGGGCACCATCCATCCCCTCCAGGCTAGAGTCCGAATGGCAGGATGGTGTTCGGTAGGGGGCACTCGCCTTGCATGAGGCCCCAGGTTCATACCTCCCACTGAAGAGGCATGAAAAAAACTGTCAGGGTGCCCCCCCCCCAGGCCACTGTCTTCCTTCTCTAGGTGCGCCCTGCCCCCCATCACATGCTGTCTGTCTGAGACATTTTGGGTAGGCGGTGGGAAGCGGCTCATTTTGACAGCAACCCACTCGGAAGAGTCCATCTGTCCGTCCGGACCTGCTCCCCCTGGGGGCCTCATGTGGGTGGGCTTCCTCACCGCATCAGCACCTACTTGACCATGGATCTGGAGAGACTTCTGAGGGGGGGGGAGGGGCTGAGCTGCCCAGCCTTTGGGGCGCTGGGGCAGCATGGACCAGTCCCAGAAAGCCCTTGGTCGAGAATTGAGTTGCTGCTTAGCCTGTGTGAACTTGGCACTTTAGAAAACTCAACTTGGGGAAAAGATGGGGTGGGGGCTGTAGTTCATGCCAGAGCACACGCCCAAGGCACGCATGGCAAGTCCTGCGTTCCTCCCCAGAGCAGCGACCCTGGCACTGCACCACCAGCCCCTTGAAGCCAGGGCAAACTGCAGAGGTGACTCTAGCTGCCCCAATGCCACTAAGGATGCAGTCCATTAAAAAAAAAAAATTAGGTGCCAGAGCAGTAGTACAGAAGGGAGGGCACTTGCCTTGCAGGCGGCCAACCCAGATTTGATCCCTGGCATCCCACATGGTCCCGAGTGCAGACCAGGAATGACCCTACCCAGAGCACTGCACCCCCCCCCCCGTCCCCCAAAAACAAAATATTGCAACGTGTCTTTTATTTCTGCCTTAGCAGGCCTGGAGATCACTCTCCTCTCTCACTGGCCACTAGTACCAGATGAGTCTACGTCGGTCCAAACGGAGCTTCTCACGCCTGCCTGCAGGCCCCCACAGGATGCCATGCCCTCAGTCACAGAGAGGGTGCTGCCACCCATAGGCAGGCGTCAGTGTGGTGGGAACTAGCTTCTCTGCTGGGAGTTTGACAGGAAAATGAAATCGCACCACCTGCCAGGTATGGTGACCCTCCCCGCCCACACCCCATGGGCTCCTTCCTGCACCCTTTGGCCTCCCTCCTCCTTCCCTTGCCCCACACCCCAGGCTTCCTGACCACACCCCAACAGGCCCCACTGCTTGGGGGACTCTGTACCCCTCCTCGTGTTTTGCTGCCAACCACAGCGGCTGGGATGTCAGGGTGCAGCCCAAGGCCGGCATGTCCACCTTGCTGCCTGTGTGTCCATGAGGTGGCCCCAACCAGAGGGGGCGGACCCGAGTGTTGCCCTCCTCTTGGGCTGCTGGCTGGACACCCAGAACCTACCAGACACGGCAATGAACGCGCCGAGATGCTTCGGGTCCCAAAGCCAGCCCTGTCTGCACAGCCGCACTTACCGCAGGGGAGCAGGGGCGGTCCCTGCCCAGGTCTCCACTGAAAGGGACACGCGGTAGATACACAGACTCAAAGGCCCAGGGGTGGGGCTCGTGCCTGTTCTTCCGGAAGATTTTCAGCTCAGCACCGCAGTTCTCCCCCTCAGCCTGACCCCCGCCACCCCTCAGGGTGGCAAGCCACTTCCTGGGGGAAAGTGGGTACCCAGGTCACCCGACAAAGCCAGGGTGGCTGGGGAGCTGGGAAGCGTGTCCCCACTGAAGCCCCCATTAAGTGACGAGGTGATCGCCACATGCCACGGTGTATTAATTGCGCCGTGGATCGTGTATTTCCAATCCCAACAGCTCACAAATAATTCACGCAGTCACCCCACTGGCTTAGGGGCGCCGGCCGGGCCCAGGCTGGAGCTCGTAGGTCGCCTCTTCGGCTAAATTTTACATTTCATTATCAGCGGCCTCGCTGGGTGCGCGAGGAAGAGCGTCCCGCCCACTGTATTATTAATGGTTTTCCCGAACTGTGGCGGCCGGCCGCGCATGCCACGCGTCATAAATATTTGATCCGGCATCCGAGCCTGCGATTCATCATTTATAACGGGTTACAAAAACATTATAAAACATTTACCGCACATTTATAGATCATCTCCGCGGCCACGGCGACGTGTCATAAATGCATTATTCATTCTGCGTGCCGAGCCAGGGAGCCCTTGGAACAGCCCAGGAGCAGCGCCCAAGGCCCCCAGCGCTGTGTGTCCTCAGCACTTCTCTGTGCTCAGCCAAGTGCTACAGGACTCTCCCTGAGCCCCACAGACCACTGTGCCCTGCCAGCTGGGCCGCAGGGGGAGCTGCCTCCAGGGCGCTCGATCCAGGTAGGAAGGCCAGGTGTGAGGCCATGCACAGGACACCTGGGGATCAGGGGGAGCACCTAGGGGACGGGACCCATCACTAGAAACCCTGCTACCCACAGGTGCCACGTGTGACACTGACCAGGGCTGAGGGGTCCATGTCCAGGTCAGGCCCACCCTGTCCAGACTAAAATAAAACCAGGTTCCTGGAGCACCTCGCGGGCCTGTTCCCACGCAGAGGCTAGCTGTGCTTGGGCCAGGCCTGGACACGGAGCATCTTCAGGTGAACAACTGCATGTAAAGGCCACCTTGGGCCCAGGCCCAACCAGCCATAGGGGTGTCCCTACACCCTCTGGGCTCAGGGCAGGGGTCTCATCCTCGGGTCCTCTGGGCCCACAACACCCTCGCTCCCAGCTCCCGCCCAGCAGACTCCAGTGTCGCCAAGGTCTCCTCTGCCTGGGGCTGTGCCGGTCGGCTGCTCCTGGAGCCACACCGTCCCGAGGCGGTCACCTGGGCTGGTGAGCTGCAAGCCAGGGTGGGGACTGAGGTGGCAGGGTGCAGGTAAACAGCCGGAGCGGAGGGCAGGGCAAAGGGCAGCGAGGGATGCGGGAGCCGCGGCTACCCACCCTGAAGGCCGGGCTGGGCATGCCGGCGGCCTCGGAAATGGCCCAGCAGGAGGGACCCTGCATGCTTGGCCACTGCTGGGCGGGTGCTGGGAAGCTGAGTCCAGCCCGAGCACAGGGCATGAGAACAGGACGCAGGGGCCAAGGGGAACGGGTGGGGGTGGCACCTGCCCGCCTCTGACTGCTAGGACCACCCCGCAGGTGCACCCCATCCCGAGCAAGGAAACAGGAAGGAAAAGAATCCGAGCTGCTGGCGGCTGGCACAGCCTCCTAGAGTTCCTGGGTCACCGACCCCAGCCCCAGCAGAAGAGATAGGTGTCCCACTAGGGGCTCCCTACAGACACCCCCCTCGCCCCTGTGCCCTGCAGAAGACTGGCAGATAGTGCGTCTCCACAAATCACACAGGCAGCGACTCTGAGCAGACAGTTTCATTGAGAAAGACTGGCCCCCCGCCCCACAGCCTCCCCACCTCTCGGCCCCCCCATGTCCCAGCCCAGGGACAGGGCAGATGCCCCTGCCCGGTCATCAGGTGACAGGTGCCTGCCTCTCCTCTTCCTGGGGAGGTCTCTGGGATCTGGGACGGAGCTTCCCAGGCTGGACGTGGAGACACAGTGACGCTCTGAAGGGTCAGCGGACTCACATCACAGCCTCCATGTGCAGTACCCGCAGGGCCTCGGAGATCTGGGCGCTGGTGTCCACCTGGCCATACATGCCCACCAGGAAGGCCCGGTGCAGCAGCACAGCCGCGTGCTCTGCAGGGAGACAGGACGGTGACCCCAGGGTCCCCCCGGACGGGGCAGGGCTGCAGGGCCGGGTGGGCGGGACTGACCTGGACACAGGAGCACGTACTCGGGCAGGCTCCGCAGCGCCGTCTGGGCCACCTCGAAGTCCCGGCTCCCCAGGCAGTACATGAACGTGGGCAGGAAGTCGGCGGCGATGCTGAAAGAGGCAAAGCTGGCGGCAGCACCTCCCCCCGAGCTGTGGAGGGTCCGGCTGGCCGGACCGTGGCTTACCTGGGGTTGCTCTGGATGGAGCGCAGCGCCAGGCTGAAGGCCAGGTGGCGGCAGGACTCCTCGGCCGAGCTCATCAGCCGCTGTAGGCAGGTCTGCGGGGGGAAGGGGCCGGTGCAAGTGGATGGTCAGGCCTAGACCGGGCTGGCCCCGCACAGGTGCCCCAGGGAGGCGGCCGGGGGGGGGGGGGTCTCCTCACCGAGAAGAAGCCCAGGACCTCGGGTCTGCGCCGGGACATCTCATCGATGTCCCCCAGGACCTCCAACACATCTGAGGGCAGGCGAGACGGGGTGACCTCACTCTCACACAGGCGCTCACAGCAGCTCGGGGCCTCTGGGTGCCCGTCCGTCCAGGGTCCCGAGCTGACAGCACAAGAGCCCCCAGCCCCTCCCCGTCACCAGGCCCCCCCATTGTGCCACATGGCCCGAGGGCTCTGGGCCCCGCTGGGCAGATGGGGAGCTGGGCGCCAGCACGAGGCCCACCTGCCCGACAGCCAGCGGCCACTCACCTTCGACAGTCTGGCCCCGGGACAGCCTCCTCATGTAGGGTGCCATCTCAGCGGCGGTGAGCGGGGTGAAGAGGGAGACGCTGACCAGGGGCAGGGAGCCGGGGGCGCTCTCGTCTGCAGGAGCAGCAGCTGGTGGCCGGGCAGACAGGCTCCGTCCCAACCCTGCGGCCCTCCCCCCGCCCACCCGCCCGTACACAGCAGCACTGGGACGGTGCCCGTGTGCCCCCAGCCAGCCAGCAGCTGTTACACCAACACAGGCCTGCTGCCCGAGTCCTGATGGCGGGCCAGGGGCAGGAGGCACCCGGGGCAGACCCGCAGCCCTGCTCACCCTCTCCCTCCTCGTCCGTGCCGTGGCCAGCTCTGCTGCCCTTGTTGGGGACGCTGAGCCCCGCGAGGAGCGACTTCAGCATGGACAGGTCGCTGCCATCGAAGGACAGGTCGCTGGGGAGACGGGGGCCCGGTCAGAGCCTCAGCAATACCCACCCCGCCCAGGCCACCGGGCTGGCACTCACTGCAGCGTGTCCAGATGCTTCTGCAGGAAGGAGACGGCGGCCGGGGCGTTGCAGGCCATGTACGTGTGCGTGAACTGCACGAATTTGCTGATGAAGGGCGCCAGCACTCGGGATGACTTCCGGTAGTTCTGCAGGAAGCGGAATGGATAAGCCCCCCACGAGGTAAGCCCCACCCCCGAAACAAACAAAAACACATGCACGCACACGCACACACAGGGCGGGATGGGCAATCCCCCCCACACACACACACAGACACAGACTCAGACACACACAGGCTGGGCCCACGCCATGCCACCCCACCTGGCATGTCCCTCTGCCGCTCACCACGCTGCCTGCCTGGCCCCAGCCCTGCCCACGCGGTCATTCTGTAGGCCCCTCTCCACAAAGCACATCATCACTAGAGACACTAAGTGCTGGGAGCCCCCAAGGGGGCTCAAGGGCACATGGTCAGCAGAGGGTTCAGAGCGGCCTGCAGAGCATGCCCCACACAGGGCGGGGCGGGCACCGCCTCCCCCCGCCAGACACAGACACACAGATACAGGGCAGGATGGGTAAGCCCCCCCCACGAGGTAAGCCCCCCCCCAGAGACACACAAAAACACATGCACACATGCGCGCACACACACATGCACGCACACGCACACACAAGGCGGGATGGGCAATCCCCCCCCCACCAGACACACACACACTGACACACAGACAGACACAGACGCAGACACACACAGGCTGGGCCCACGCACCACCAGCAGGCCGATGAAGGAGCGCAGACAGTCCCACAGCGCCCCCTGGTGCTCGCTCTGGAAGACCTGCGGCTGCAGCAGCTCCAGCAGCCCCAGCACGTGCAGGAAGAAGCTGAGGTGTCCCTGCTGGCGCAGCTCCTGCAGGTTGAGGTGCGTGCGGCCGTGCAGGAGCGCGGCCATCATGGGCAGGTGCCTGCAGGGGACACAGAGGGCTCACGCCCGCTATGCGGGGGCTGGGCCCAGGGCTGCCCACCCTGTGCACCCTACCCGCTTACCTGAGCAGCAGGATGGGGTGGGCCACGGCCAGCTTCCGGCAGGCCATGTTGGCGTCGGCGACCCGGTTTTCGGACGCCCGCGAGTCACCAGTGTCGGCCAGGAGGGTGATGAAGCGGTGGATCAGACTGTCCAGCTGCGGGCAGGCGGGGGCAGGGGTCAGGCAGGAAGGGGAAGCTGGCCGCCCCCTCCCAAGGGGGACTCCCACACATGCAGTCTCAGCCAGGGGCCCTCAGTGGGGGCTGCTCTGGTCACGGCCGCCAGAACCCCGGCATCTCCTGCCCCGTGGGCGCCAGGCACGGGCCTGGCAGAGAGGGGCTCCTGGACAGATGCAGCCCTGGCCGTCCCCCAGGGCTTACCGTGCAGACGCTGCTAGCTGTGGCGCCCTGGCCGCACAGCAGGACCTCGGGTGCGGGCAGGCGGAGCTCGGGCCGCTGCAGGTAGAGCTGCAGGAGCAGGTCTCGGCAGGGTCCCCCCAGCGTGCTGCAGGAGAGCAGGCAGTGGGGTCGGGCCGGGTCGGACCGGGTTGGGCGGCAGGCTGCCCGGGGACCAGCCAGCACTCACCTGTCTCCCTGCTGCTGGATGCGGCTGGTCAGGTGCGCGGCCACCTTCCTCACGCCCTCGCTGTCCCCGCGGCAGCAGCTCAGCAGCAGAGGCAGCCGGGCTTGGAGGAGGCTGCAGGTGGCGCCCACGTCCTGGCCCCGGGCCTCCGCCTCCGCCAGTAGCAGGTCCACCAGGCCCAGCAGCTCCGAGCCATGCACGCGCAGCACCAGTTCCTCTCGCCGCTTCTGCAGCGGCATGAGTCCCGTCAGTCCCAGGTGGCCCAAGTCCATCAGTCCCGAGCGGTCACCCGGCTCCTGCCCCCAGGCCCCAGACCTGCCTGAGGGGTGCGCTGGTCCCTCCCCTGCCAGATTCGAGGGACGTGGATGCAGGCCCACAGGAAGTCCAGAGAGGCAGAAGGGTCAAACCTGGGTGCGGGAGGGAGGCCCAGTTGGTCCCCAGAATCTGGGGCTGACAGGTCACACCCTCCCGGGCGTCCCGTCCTCAGCCTGCGGCGCCTCACCTCTGCTCCCAGCTGCGGCCCAGCAGCACGCGGATGCACTGGTGCAGGGTGGACCAGTTGGACTGGTGCGTGAGCAGAGCCAGGAGGTAGGGGCGAAACGACGGCACCTGGGGTGCGGGGTGGCCTCCGCCCTGCGGCGGTGGCAGAAAGCCCATGAGGGGAGGTGCCATCGGCAGAGCCTGGGGCCATCCTGCGGTCCAGCACCGCCATAAGCCCCTGGAGACTGGTGCTGGCTGACGGGGTCTCGGCTTCCCCAGCACCTCCCCCGGGTGCCAGCCCTTCCGGGGGTACCTGGGCCACCGAGGGCCCCAGGGAGCAGAGCTGGCCAGTGACAGTGGCAGAGGAGGTGGGGGACGACACAGGCCTGACAGGAAGGGCTGTTACCCCAGTGCCCACCTTGGCCCGGGAGAAGAGTAGCCTCTGCTGCAGGTCAGGGCAGCTGCCAACCACCTCGGGGTCCAGCATCTCCAGCCAGTCGACGAGCAGCCCTGAGCAAGGGCCCAAGCGCACGGGGGTCTCCAGGCTGGAGGGAAGGTCGGGCGGGTTCAGCTGGGCCCGTGGCCTCACCCACCGCCACCCACCCGCCCACCCACTCATCTCCGGCGCCTCACCTGCCGTTGCTGGCCTCCAGCTCCCCCGGGCCCGGGGCCTCAGCATCCTGCAGCAGCAAGGAGCTCACCACCGCAACGGGCCTGGAGGCTGGGCCCGCGGCCGCAGAGGAGAATAAGGCAGACAGGAGCTCCTCCAGGTGAGGCGACCTCACCTCCACCAGGCCGCGGAGCACTGCGGAGGACAGGTCGGTCACGCCCTCCCGCCTGCCCCTGCCAAGAACATTGGGGTACCTGAAGGCCCCAGGGAACCCAGCCCCCAGAGCCGGGGATGAGGTACCTTTGCTGAGGAGCTCTGGCTCGGCCGCACAGGGTGCCCCGGCCTTGAGAGTGGCGACGACAGCCCGCACGGTGGAGCCGACCACCTCCAGGTCCCCACGAAACGCCAGGGCCTCCGCCAGCTGCAGGAAGCCGCTGCGTACTGGGAAGAGCGGGTGTGAGGCCACCCTGGTGCACCCACCCGCCCGCACGGCAGTCCGAGGCAGGGGCCCGCCCTCACCGTCGCTGATCCTGCGCCTGGCCGACAACTGGGTGGCGAAGAGCTTGAGCTGGGCTCGCAGGGGCCCGCCCTCGGCCGCGGGGCCCTCCAGCCAGGGCAGCATCTGCGTCAGCACTTTGAGGAAGAGCGCGGAGAAGCCGGCGTCCTGGGGCACACGGCGCTGTGGGGACGATCGCGCACAAACACGCGTGTGTGTGTGTGTGAGGAGGATAGCCGGAGCCAGGCAGGGCTTCCCCGGCATCCCACGGGCCCGCACCCACCTGGTACTGGCTGAGCAGCCGCAGCAGTGGGCACGCCAGGAAGTGGGCGCGGTGCATGGCCAGCACCAGGGCCCCGGCGTGTGGGGAGCTCAGCAGCGTGGCCAGGGCCTGCAGCAGGCGCAGCCCCACGCCTGGCCCCTCGGAGGCCCCCTGGCGGGCTCGCGCCAGCTCCTGGCCCAGGGCCTGCTGCAGCGCCACGGCGAGGGGGCGGGCATTGGTGCTCGGGCACCGAGGGCTGGGGTTCAGGGGGAAGATCTGAAGTAGAGGGCGGCGTTGGTGTCGGCCAGCTCCCAGAGGCCCCCCCCACCCCGGCCGGGCCCAGGGACCTCACTCAGGGCTCAGGCGGCCTGAGGCTCAGCATGACTGTCCCACGGGCAGGGCCTAGGGGCAGCTGCCCCCCTCCCCCGGGGGGGAACAGACACCCTCGTGCAGGGTTGGAGGCCACAGGCAGCTCCAGGCTGAGGCCAGTGGAGAGCAGAGGACACCTGCCACTGCCCTCACCACTGCGTGGGCTCCGACCCCGTGGCCCAGCTCGCCTGGCCTGGCAGCCCGGGTGCCAGGCACCAAGTGCAGAAGGAAGGCAGGGCACTGCTGAGCGGCTGGGATGGGGTTGGGGCATCCCTCCGTGTGTACCTGCAGCAGCATGCTGGCAAGGTCATCCTCGGGTCCAAGTGCCTGCACCTGTGTACTGGCACGGAGCTGGCCTTGGCCCGCCGGCTGCTCGGGGCTGCTCTTGGGCTTGGGCGCCTCTGAACTGTCTGATGGGGAGGGCAGGGGTCAGATGGCAGCAGGGAGCAGGGGTCAGATGGGTGGGTGGGGAATCGGGTTAGATGGCTTATAGGGGGGAGGGGGAACAGGTCAGACGTGGCCCCGTGTCCCAGGCCTCTCCCCCCCTTACCTCGCCGGGGCGGCAGGGCGGCCGTGAGCAGGGAGTGGAAGGTCTGGCCCCCCGTGGCCCCTCTCTCATGCTGCACCTCCACCAGGTGGGCCATGTAGTCTGCAAGACAGCGCACTGTGTCTGCGCCTGACCTGCATCCCCACCTGCGTCCCCACCCGTGTCTCTGCCGGGCCCGCGTCCTCACCTGGCCTGCGTCCCCACCCTCGTCCCCTCCCTCTGCGTGCCCACCTGTGTCCCAGCACCCCGGAGGCTATGGCAGTGGGCAGCGGGCTGGGGGCGTGGGGGCCGGGGCTGCACTCACTCTTGTCCATTATGTTCTGCTCCAGGGTCTGGGGGTCGTGGGCCACCGCCTGGTCCAGGTGCTGCAGGAGCTTGCTCATGCTGGACACGGGGATGCCAAAGGACTGCACGAACAGTAGCAGCTGCTGCGGCTCCAGGTCCTGCAGGGCTGGGGGGGGCGTGAGGCCCCAGGCACCACCCCTCCAGGCCCCACACCCAGAGCCCAGAGCCTAGCCGCCCCGCCCCTCCCCTCCCTGCGGCCCCACCCTGCTGGCCGCCCACCTACCGGCATCCACCAGCCGGGGCACCTCCGAGCGGATCATGCGCAGCTTCAGCCAGTCGGGCAGCAGCAGCGCCTCCTCCGACGTGTCCACCAGGAAGGCCGTGGGCAATGGCTTCTTCTCCGGGAACCAGATGTCCAGCAGGGCCCGGAACTCGCTGTCACCGGCTTTACAAAAGACCACGGGAGAGGCACGGATGACCCCAGGGTGTCAGACCCCACAGCACGGGGAAACGCGGTCAGATGACCAGGGTTGGGTGGACGCGAAGACCCAGGCACCAGGACTACCTGACCCAGAGTCTCCACGCCACTCCGGGAAGGAGCCCAGCAGGACCTCACCCGCTCCCGCCACGGCCACATTCCCAGCAGCGCCCAGGTCCCGGGGCCACCTGCCCCCAGGTCAGGCACCCCCCTATGAACCTCCACACGGACGCCAAGAGCCTCCAGTGAGGCAGTTGGTTCCCACGCAGAGGGATTCTTGGTAGCCTCCCAGCACTCACCCCGTGGTGGCCCCAGTGTCAGCAGGATGACCATGGCGTGCACCACCAAGATGTGCATGGTGGCCGTCTCCCCGCTCGACCAGCGCAGGAATACCTGGTCCTGGGACTCGGACTGCAGGGGAGAGGGGTTGAAGTAAGGGTGGGCAGGGCCTCGGGCCGCAGGAGAGAGGGGGTGAGGGTTGGTGAGCCTAGGGCCGGGGGAGAGGGGTGAAGGTGGGCGGGGCCTTTGGCCAGGGGAGAGGGGAGAGGGTGGGCAGGGCCTGGGGCTGGAGGTGGGCGAGGGGGGGGGCTCACCCAGCTGTAGACCTCCTCCCCCTCCTTGCTCTGGCGCATGCGCTGGACGTAGCGCGAGAAGATGGACAGCAGAGCAGACAGCACGGCGTCGGACGCAGCGCTGCAGGGGCGCTTGGCAAAGAGGTGAGACATGATGGTGGAGCGCTCCACGATGAGCCGGGCCACGTCCTACAGCGGAACCGACACTCAGCGGGCGGCACCAGGCCAGGGGGCCAGGGTGGGAGCGGTGGCCCGCGGCCTCACCAGCGCCAGGTCGCTGTGCTGGCTCTGCTCCTCGGTGGGTGTGTGCTGGGACAGGTACACCAGGTACGCGCTGATGGTCTGCGGGTCCGTCTCCATGTGGATGGCCTGCGGGGAGTCGGGGCGTGTGAGCTGCTCTGCGGGTGCCAGGCAACCCCCCTCCACCCATCCCCCCAGTCACCTGCTGCAGGGCCAGGGCCGTGCTGGACTTCACGCTGGCGAACAGGGGCAGCAGGGGCAGCGCCCGCAGCAGCCACTGGTAGCCCTGCAGCGCGTCCACAGGGCCTGGCTCCTCCTGCGGCGGCTCCTTCTCCTCCCCGTCCCGCAGGCTGCCCTCCGACAGCACCAGGGACAGGCCCTGCGGACAAGGACCCGCGTCATGCCGCTGCCGGGTGCGGGGTGGCGGGGGGGGGGGGGACACAGGCATGCTCCGGGGGGCCTCGGGGGCCTGTCTCCCCACCCACACACTCACAAATGCACACACACGCTCAAACTCCACCCCCCCACGCACACACACACACTCGCAGACCCTACACCCATGTACACTCACAGACTCATTCACACAAGCGTGCACACACAAACCCCACATGCATAGACACTCACATACTCTCAGACTCCACACCCATATACACTCACACGGACTCCACTCGTACACGCTGTACATACACATAAACACTTGTACGTGCAAACACAAATTCACACACTCTGTCCATACAACCACACACTCACATGCCTGCACTTGCACGTGCCAACTCACACAACTCACACACCTGTACACAAACTCATACACTCACACAGTTTCAATCACGTCCACACATAATACACACACACACACACACACACACACACACTCTCTCTCTCTCTCTCTCTGTGGCACATACGCACTCGTACATACATTAACATACAACCTCATATTCCACACACTCACGTACAGTCGCAGACACACCGAACACGGGCGCACACTCGCTCCAGACACTGGTTGGGAGTGCAGGGAGAAAGGCCACCCCGACGTGTGGCAGGGCACAAGCCCAGGGTCGGGGCAGGGACGGGGCAGTGGCGTCACCTTCATGGCCAGCACACGGGAGGCCACCTGGGAGGAGCCCAGGCGCCGCAGGAAGTAGTCCAGCACCTCGCATGTGGTCTGCTCGTCTGCCTTCGGGCCCAGCAGCAGGTCCTGCAGGCGGCCCAGGAGCTGCTGCTGCTTCTGCTGCCTCTGCGGGATTGGAGGCGTCAGCGGGCTGCGGAGGCTGGGGGCAGCGGCAGTGAAGGCGGGGGCAAGGCCCCGGGGCGGGCAGCACCCCCACCTGCCGCTTCTTCGCCCTGCGCTCCTTGCTCTCGCCCTCCTCCTCCTCCTCCCCGGAGGCAGTGGTATCAGCGGCATCATGCAGCAGGAACTCGCAGAGGCACTGCACGGGGAGCACGTCCAGCGACCCCTCGCTGGACTGCACCAGGTCGGCCAGCCAGGGCATGGACTGCGAGGACGCCTGGAGGACAGACAAGACACGCTCAGACCAGGGGCGTCCGGCCCAGCCCAGCCGCCGCCACGGGAACCGCCAGGGCTCGGGCACTCGCCTGCCGCTGGATGATGTTGAGCAGGAAATCCGGGTTCCGGCTGCGACACAGCAGGTGGCCCAGGCGCAGGGACTGGTTCAGGCCCTTTACCTGGTCCAGGATGTGCAGGGGAGGCCTCCGGGGGGGCCCTCTGGAAGGCCAGGGGAGGTGTGTAAGGAGGCGAGAGAGCCAGCCCCGCCCTCCGCCGCCCATCCCCCCTCCCCATCAGGGCCTGCGCGCACTGGGGGTCCAGGCTGGTCAGCTGGGACAGCAGCAGGCTGCTGCTCTCCGTGATGGTCTGCTTGGTGGAGGCGGCGGCCAGGTGACCCTCAAAGGCCAGGATCTCCTGCTTCTCTCGCTGGGAGACCTGGAGCTCCCGGCTGAGCATCTCAGCACGCGTCTCCTCATCCGTCAGGGTGCATGGCGGGTAGGAGTAATTGCTGGGGGGGGGGGGGGCGCGCAGAGACAGCTCAGCACCGCTGCCCGCCCACACCCACTGCTCGATCCCAGACACACCTCAGCCCTTCCCAGAAAGCCCCGAGCCCGAGTCTGCCCTGTTCCCACCCAACTGTGCCGCAGGGCTCCCCCTACTGATCTCCGAGCTCCTCCCCTCATCCCTGCCGGGAAAGGCCCACTCAGGGCCGTGTCCGCCCCCCTCCCCCAACTGCCCGCCCTAGTGCAGGAAGCCAGTGGCAGGGGACGGGGCAGCCTACTTGGTCATCACCATCTCCATGAGCATCTTCAGCGTGGGGTACTCCTCCCAGGCAGCCAGGCCTAGGAACGGGACAGGGTAGCCAGTGGGGAGAAGCCCCCACAGGCCGACCCCCCCGACTCCCCCCTCCCAGGTCACCCTCCCTCCGCCTGCAGGCCCCTTACAGGCACCCCCAGCCCCACAAGACACAAACCGATGTTCTCAGGGTTGAAGGCAGCGACCACAAGCAGCAGGGGCCAGGCCTTCCAGTAGAGGGTGGAGATGGCCAGGTTGGGGGGCTGGTAGCTGGAATGTGGGGCCACAGGTCAGGGCAGGGCAGGGCAGAGTGCCCCAGGGTGCACATGCCACAAGGCCCAGACCCTCCAGCCCGGCCGCCAGTGCGGCAGGGAGTTTACTCCTGATGGCGTGATACGGACAGCGCTTAGCGCCAACTACAGACATTCAGAGTCTGGGGGCAGGGGGCACCATGAAGGGGCTGCCTTGCACGCAGGAGCTCCTGGGCTCCAACCAGCACCAGAAACAGCAAAGACACGCCCCCCCGGTGTGCTGGCATGTAGAGCCAGGAGCCCTGGTACAGGGATGGCAGCAGGCCTCACTGAGGCCTGTCCACCTCAGGCTCACAGGGTCTGTCTGCCTGGGCCAGCCGCCCAGCCCCCCTCAGAGTGCAGTGCCCAGCCAGACAGGCTGGGAGAATGGGAGCAGGATTCCTTGGGAGGGCCCAGGAGTGAGACCCAAGGACAGCGGGCACCGCAGACACATCCCGGGGACATGGACGGGAGGGGCCCAGCCGAGACAGGTTCCCAGAGCAGCCCGGGGACAGGGACACTGGGACAGCTGCTGCCCACATGCGAGTCACTCCAGACACGAACACACACTCCAGAGGGACCCCAGAGGCCCCCCGGGACCAGCAGAAAAGCACGAGAGGCCCCGAACTGTGGGTCCAGGGTCAGGAGTGCAGAGGAGGGGCCGGCCGGGACACCCGACCCGAGAGTCCCACAGTTCAGAGGCTGAACACGACTTGACCCACCTGGCTAGAAACGGGCTCACCATTTCCCCTGGGCTGCGGGTGCCGGAGGGACAGGCGCAGGTGGGCCTGGGACATCGCCTCCCCACAGACGCTCAGCGCCAGTCCGGCGGGCCCAGGCTGCCAGCCGTCCTCCACTTGGCGGGGGACTGACCTCACACGGGATGCCCGAGAAACACGAGGGAGTGCGTGGCGGAGGGGGCTCACCCTGGGGGCAGCTGGATGTTCTCCGGGTGATGGTAGGTACAGAGATTAAGCACGGCGTCGATCAGCTGCACCCGCTCCACCTTCAGCACCTCCATGTCTAGGGCACCAAGGGCAGCGGCTGAGCACAGCCAGGGGCCAGGGCCCCAGGGGCAGCAGTCACACAAGACGTGTCCCCCACCTACCCCTCCCCGAGCAGACAGCAGCAGGGCCCGGCAGGAAGAGGCGAGGAAGCAGAGCTGTGCGTCCATCGGGAACACGGCCCGGGCCTATGCTGAGGGCGGGGCCCCACACAGCACCCCCAGAGGCGGCCAGTGAGCTCACCAGGTAAGTGCAGGTTCACCCGCTCCCTCTACCCCGCCCCCCCACCCCCGCCTCGGGGACAGAGGCAGGACCCACCATCCGCCTGCACAGCGGCCGCGCGTTTCACCAGGTGGTCAGCCAGCTCCATGGCGTCGGCTGGCCCAAGCGGCAGCTCCCGGGACAGCCCGATGACCAGGATCCGCATGAGCGTGTCCTCCAGGATGGGCACCTCGGAGCAGAGGCGGAGGAAGAAACTGGGGACAGCAGGAGAGGCAGGCTCAGAGGACAGCCGGACACACGTTCCAGATGCTCAGGGTCAGCCAAGGACGCAGCCGGTAAACCGCCCTCTGGACCACCACAGGGCAGGACCGGGGGAGCGGGAGCAGGGCCCGGAGCAGGGGCAGCGGGCAACGTGCTTACTTGCGGTCACTCTCAGGTGGCCAGTTGTCCCACTTGTAGTAGGTCTCGGGCTGCTCCGTGAACAGCACCTTGTGCAGGCTGGAGGCGAGGAAGGTGGGGACGCCAGGGAGTGAGCCCAGGACCCCTGAGCTCACCCCTGCCCCCCGCCCACCAGTGCATGTAGTCCTTAGACGCCAGGGAATGAACCCGGGACCCCCTGAGCCCATCTCCGCCCCCCTCCCACCAGTGCACATAGTCCTTGGATGCCAGGGAGTAAGCCCAGGACCCCTGAGCCCACCCCCACCCCCCACCCACCAGTGCACGTAGTCCTTGGAGGTCAGGGAGTGAGCCCAGGACCCCTGAGCCCACCCCCACCCCCCACCCACCAGTGCACATAGTCCTTGGAGGCCAGCTTGCTGATGGAGGGCACCACTGTGTGCAGCCACCACACGGCGTCCCGCTGGATGGCGGCGATCTGAGTCTGGAAGGCCCTCAGCACCTCCAGGTCTGGGGAGAGACAGGCAGGGCCCACGTCACCCGCCGTGCCCGCGGCACCCAGGCAGGGCTGCCGGCAGAGACCCCCCGGGACCAGGCCTTACTCTTCTTCTCGCCCTTGTCCCAGGCGGCGCCGGCCTCCTTCACCTGCACCGTGATGCCCAGCATCATGGCCACGGCCAGCACGTCGGTGATGTGCACCACGAACCGCTCCTGTGGACAGAGCAAGGGCTGGAGGCCATGGCGGCACGGGGACAGGTGGCCAGAGCCACGGCCTAACCCCCCCCCGCCCCGGACCACCCCGAGCAGGGCATCGGGGACCCACCTTGAACTCCATGTCCAGGTACTGCGGCTCGCGGCGCTCCTGCATGAGTCCCAGGCAGAAGGCCTGAAAGTTGACCTCATGCTTGGTCTGCTTGATGATCTCCCGCAGCAGGGCCCGCGCCGCCCGCAGGTAGTCGTCCTTGTTGGTCAGCAGGTCCTGGAACACCATGGCCAGGAACTAGGGAGACACGACCTGGGTTGGACCTGGGCTCTGATCGTCACAGGACACACACGGACCACGGTGGACATGCCAGGCGCTCAGACCCACATCCCCACGGGGGCAGGAGCAGGGCCCCTCCGCGACCTCCCAAACTCAGACCAGACCCTGGTGGCTGAAGGGCCCCTGGCGCTTCCCCTCTGCAGGTCAGCCACCCGCTCTGACAAGCCCCCACGCCCACCGGTGACTGCCGAGTGTGTCCTGAGAGAAAAGGGGCCGGGGAGCCCACGAGGACCTGCCCCGGGTTCCCCTGGAGCTCGCAGGCTCCCCCCCGGCCCCCGCCCACCTTCGGGGCCAGCTCGGAGCTGTGCTGCAGCACGGTGTGGAGGATCTGCATATTGTTGGGGTTGCGGGCGTTGGAGAGCTCGTTGAAGATCACAAACTTGACCGTGGTGCCCAGGTTGTCCCTGTGTGCATTCAGCAGCTCCCTACAGAGCAGGAGGAAGGGGGCCAGAGGAGGGGGCTGAAGAGGGGGGCGGCGGCCCCAGACACACCCCCGGGGCTCCCAACATGGCACGCGCGCCCACCTGATGCACAGCATGTAGTGGTTGAGCAGGACCTTGGGCTTGAGGCGGATCTTGACGAGGTGTGAGATGACGTCCGTGTCCTCGGGGCCATGCGTGTCGCAGTTCATGCAGACAGACATCAGCAAGTCCTGGGCGGGCCTGGTCAGCTGCAGGTACAGGGGTCCATGTCAGGAACCCAGGAGGGCGAGGGGACGGTCTCGGGTACCCAGGAGGGGTAAGGGGGAGCAGCCCCCACGCACCTTGGGGTTCTGCAGCCACATCTCCAGCTTCTGCACAGTGACCAGCCGCACCTCCTTGTAGCCGCAGGTGGCAGTCAGCAGGCGCAGGAGGTTGCGGGACACGCTGTCGATGGGCTGGCGCCGGTTGAGCTGGTCCCGGAGCACGTCCAGGACGTACTCCTCCACGCTCTCCGCGAGCTCCTCATACCTAGGCCAGCGGGGGGGAAAAGGGGAGGCCGGCGGGAGGGAGGAGGCCGGCAGGAGGGCGGGAGGCCGGGACCCCACCTCGCCCCGCCCGGGCACACACACCTACCTGGGCATGAGCTGGCCCTCCTGCGCCGGGCTGAGCTTCTCCTCGGCGATCAACAGCTCTGTCTGGCTGTCCTCCTCCTCGGTGAGTGAGGGGTGAGGGCTGTTCCCTGCACAACCGCCCTCTGAGCTGCAGCTGCCTGGGAGGCTCCACGGGACCCCCGCCCCACCTTGCCCGCACCCAGCTCACCCGCACTGAGGTCACCCCCGCTGCGTCCAACCTCCCCCTGGAGCAACACGCTCTTGGGGGGCATTTTGGTGTTGAAGGCCGTCTGGATGTTGTCCACGAAGGCCCTGCAGTGGGGGCTGTCCACCCAGATGCGCTCCCCCAGGGAGTCCTCGATGTACACCTGCGGGCGTGTCCAGGCGGTCACCCTGCACTCCGAGGCGGCCTCTAGTTCACGGCTCAGCCACCCCCTGGTCAGGGCCTCACCTTGACAAAGATCTCAGGCCAGTTCTCGTCCTCCTCGTAGGCAGCCATGAGGAGGGTGCAGGCCAGCACAGACACCAGGCTGTTCCCCTTAGCCTTGAAGCTGATAGATGCATCTCGCCGCAGGAGGCTGCATAGAGCCTGCAGAACATGGCAGCCGTGAGCCCCGCCGGCCACCAGGGGAGCAGCTCAGGGCACTGGAGACCCACACAGGGCACGGGGGACCCTCACAGGGCACGGGGTCCCCCACCCAGGAAAAGGAACAGAGATAGCCAGCCTCCAACAGAGATCACACAGGACGGAGGGGACAGCAGCACTCACCTCAATGACACCCTCGGTGGCAAAGATGTTGGGCTTGATCTTGGCCAGGTACATGAGGCTCAGGTACAGGGCGCCATCGGGCTTGGCCCGCGAGCCCTTCAGCTGCTTCGCGGCCCCGCAGAGCACACCCTCGATCCGGCCGTCATCGCCCTCCAGCTCAGCGGCCTCGATCTCCTCCAGCAGCATGGTGGGCGGGACTGGTGGGGAGACAGGGACCCTCAGGAATCGGCCTGGGGGCCCCAAAGCCCGAGGCAGCGGCCGGGGACCTGCGGGCAGTGGGCAGGGACCTGGGCGGCACCGCATCCCCATCTCTGCAGCCATGACCCATTCGTTTTGTTCTCAACAAAAGCCTGGGGTCCAGGGAAGGATGAACACAGGCGCCGAGATTGCTACAGGGCCAGTGAAGCCTCTGCCGTCTGGGGCCTGTCCTGCCACTCACTTGGACCCCCGCACCCTTCCTCACGAGAAGCAGCCGGCATGCGGTGGACGGGGCCCTTGGGCCTTGGGGCTACAGCAGGACCTTAAGTGGGTCCTGAAGCTCAGAGCCAGCTGCCTCCCCTGCCCAGACCCCCAGTGGGTGCCTGGCTCCGCCCATCCCAGCGGGGATTCCCCACCCAGGTCCGGGATAAACACTAGGGGATCCCCAGTCCAGCAGCTGCCAGACTTCTGATCGCCAAAAGAGCCCAGCACTCAGCAAACAACGACAGACTCAGGGTGCCCAGCACGGAGGCCATAGGACACCCGAGTGTCCCATCCCAGCCCAGACCTGGCACACAGCAGCTCTAACTCTGCAGGAAGGCTGGCGCGAAGCCCCTTACCTTCAATGGGGACCACCGAGGGCTCTTTGATGGAGGGGGAGATGGCGCGCTTCTCAGCCACAGCCGCCTCGGCCAGCCGGCCCAGGGCACTCAGCGGGGGCGTGGAGGACAGCTTGGGGCGCTTGGTGAGGCCGGTGAGCGCCGAGGCCCCGGCCAGGGCGGCCGCATCGCGCTTGCGCTCAGAGGGGAGGCCAGCGGGCGCCGGCTTCAGCAGGGCTGCAGCCCCCTTGGACTCGCCTGCCTGCCCCTTGGAGCCCAGAGCGATGAAGTCCCCGGGCGGCGGGTGCCCTGTGGGGAGGGAGGGGGGACAGACATCAGATCGTGCTGGGCACTAGGCAGAGGGTCAGCCTCGGGCCACACAGCCAGGGAGGGACACGCTGGGAAGGAGCTGCTGGGAAAGGGGCAGCGGGGACCAGCTCCTGGAAGCAGGGGCCTGGTGCTGAGCAATGACCCCTTGATGCTCCCGGCACCCGGGGTGGGTGCTACACACCCCCCCCCGCACCCTAGGCGGGTGTCCCCTGCACCCCAGGTGTGTGTCCGGCTCCCCGGCAGGTGCTTCCCCGACCCCCCGGCGGTGTCCCCCTCGCGGGCAGCGCACCGGAAGGCTTGGCCGCGGCGCTCGGCCGCCGCACCGTGGCGGGCTTGGCGCGGTTCATCGTGGGGGCAGCAGCTTCTGGGCAGCAGCGCTCGGGGACTCGCGTCCCCAGACCCGCTCACCAGCTGCCCATCCAGCCCGCGCAGCGCCGCCGCCCGGAAGCGGAAGTCGCGGGGCCGGGAGGCGGGACTTCCGGGGCTCCGGAAGCAAAACAGCGGCGCTTGTAGCGAGACATACACGCGCGGCTCGCGCGCCCCCTGGTGGCCTCAGGCCGCGTGTCTGGACCCCGGCCGCCCCCGCGTCAGTCAGAGTCGCGAGCCCGGCGGCGGCGCCACCCCACCTCCTCCGGGTTCCTGCTGCTGCGCCGGGCGAGCCGCTAATCGCCGCGCGGCCGCGAGCCCGGGGCCCACCCCGGAAGGGTCCGACCCCTTGGGGGTCGCTAAGAGGTTCTCTCAAGGACTGTTGCCAGACGTCAGTCTCGGGACGGTGTGGGGGATCGAAACCACAGGCTGGCTGCGTGCCAAGCGGATGCCCTTCCCTCCGTCCTGTTGCTCTGGGCCTTCTCAGCCATCTCTCAGGGGGTCACTGAAGTGATCTTCGGTGGGGTCTCTTGAGGGGACGTAGGTTTCTGAGGGGGTCGCTTAGAGGTCTCTGAGAATCTCACAGGTCTCTGTCAGAGAGATACTGGGGAGGCCACTGAGGGGCCCCTTGCGGGGATTCAGGAGGGCTCAGAGGCATCTCTGAGGGAATCTCTGAGGGGTCTCTCAGGTCTCTGAGGAGGCCTCTCAGGTCCCTGGCAGGGTCTCTGAGAGGTCTCTTGGGTGGACTCTTGAGAGGTCCTTAAGGAGTTCTCTGGGGAATAACTGATGGACATAACTGAGGGGGTTTCTGATAGGGCTGTGAGGAGTCTGACATTTCTGAGGTCTCCAAGGAGTCACTGAGGCTTCTGGGGACAGGCTCTGTAAGGTCTCTCTGAGGGGTTTCCGAGTTGCTTCTGAAGTCCCTGAAGGGTCACTTAAGTCTCTGAGAGGTCACTGAGGTTTCTGAGAGGGAGTCACTGAGGTGTCTCTGAGGAGTCACTGAGGTCTCTAAAGAGGGGTCACTGAAGTCTCTGATGAGTAACTTGAGGGTAACTGAAGTTTCTGAGCAAGGGCCACTGAGGTTTCTCTGAGGGGGGGTCACTCAAGACTGAAGGATCTGTAATGTCTAAAGGGTCTCTGAAGTCTCTTTTGGGATCACTGAGCGGGGTCTCTGAGGAGTCATTGAGGTCTCTGAAAATGTCTCTAAGGGGTTTCTGAGGTCTCTAAGAGTTGTGAGGTCTCTGAGGGGCCAAAGAGGGTCACTGGGGGCCGGGGCAATAGTACAGCGGTTAGGGCGTTTGCCTTGCACATGGCTGACCCGAGTTCAATTTCCGGCATCCCATATGGTCCCCCAAGCACTGCCAGGAGTAACCCCTGAGCATTGTTGGATGTGACCCAAAAAGAAAAAAGAGAGTCACTGAGGGAGTCTCTTTGAAGGGTCACCAAGGTCACTGAGGGGGTCTCCAAGGAGTCACTAAGGTCTGTGAAGGAGTCTCTGAGGTAATTTCTGAAGGGGGTCCCTGAGAATTTACTGAGATCTCTGAGAGGTCGAGATTGGGTCTCTGAGCAGGTAAACTGTATAGCGGGTAAGGTGCTTGACTTCATGCAGCCAATCTGAGTTCAATCCCCAGCACCCCATACGGTGCCCTGAGCACTGCCAGGGGTGATCCCTGAGCCAGGAGAAACCCCTGAGCATCGCCAGGTGGCCCCAAACCCCACCCTATTATTATGGGTGTCTGAGGGGGAGGGATCACAGGTGTCTCTGAGGTCTTTAAAGGTCACTGTGGAGTCTCACAGGTTGTTTCTAAGGAGTCTAAGGTCTCTTAGGGGTTATTGAGGGGTCTCTGAAGGGTAACTGAGCTCTTGGCAGTCTCTGAGGAGTAGCTGAGGACTCTGAGGGATCTCTGGGGTCCTCTGACATGTCATGATGTGTCTGAGGTCTTTTAAGAGTCACTGAGGAGGTCTCTGAAGTTCCTGAGAGGTCACTGGGGTCTCTAGGGATCACTGAGGGATTCTCTGAGCTGGTCTCTGAGTCCTGAGTTACTGAGGTATCTCTGAGTTCTTTAAGGGGTCACGAAGGAGGTCTCTGAGGAGTCTCTCTGAGGCCTCTCAGGATCACAGAGGGGGTCTGCGAGGATCATTGAGAGGTCTCTTAGGGAACATTAAGGTGTCTCTGTGATCTTTGAGAGGTCACTGAGATGGTCTCTGAGTCCACTGAGGGGTCTCTGAAGGCATCTCTGAAGTCTCTGAGAGGGTCTCTGAGGGATCAGCTGACTTGAACAGTCTCCTTGTGCTGCTGTGCTTTCTCAGTGCTGATGGCCCTTTGCTTGGGATCATCTTGGGTTGAGGCAGTGGCATGTGCTACTTGCTCCTACAGTGTCACCCTCTTTAGGATGAGCAGGGAGGATGCCCCTGCAACCGGGCTCCATGGTTCCCTGAACGTCCCCCTTTCCAGGGAAATGCAGAACAGCTTTGTGACTACACTCCCCTCACCCTGTCCCTGATGCCTAGCACACCACCTCCTGCTTCTCCCTTGGAACAGCTTTGTGACTGCACTCCCCTCACCCTGTCCCTAGTGCCTAGCACACAACCTCCTGCTTCTCCCTTGGAACAGGGCATCCTGCCTACCATAGTGATGTCTTGCGGGCAGGGCCATAGCATGGGTGCCCAAGGGTTCACTCTCCTGTCAGCCTTGGTGTGGCTGCATGTCTCCTGCTCCTATGCAGACACAGCAGAAGGGCCTGCCATGGTGCAGCAGGACACTGGGTGTCTGGTGTCTGGACTAGGGGTACATTTGGTGACTCTGTCAAGTACCCCTACCTGGAGTTCCCATGGAATCCACAGCTTTACATCAAACCCCAGATGACCCCGAGAAAAGCCTTCAAACCTTCCTGGGAAGTTCCAGCAGGTATCTGGGGGCAGAGCCCAAATGCTGTGTGAACTACAGTCCATGGCACAGGGGATGGACACAGCCCGGAAGGCATGACCAGAACATGGGGGAAAACAGCACAGCATGGGTGATGGCCATGGCCCAGGGGGACGAGCATAGCATGAGGGAGCACATACTGGAGGGTTCCATCTGACAAGAGCCCTCGAGAAATAAGCCATGTGGCTCCTCTCCCAGGACTTTAGGAGATGGTTCCCAGTGTGCAGAAATGCAGGCAGTGGTCCCCTTTGGGGGCCACAATGACAGCAGCTCTCACTAGCGTCCAAGTATCTGTATCTCCCAAAGCTGTATTTGGGGACCAGGAGCATCAGGCAGTCCCCACAGTCATCAGAGCGTCATGCCCAGGCCATTGGGGAGCACAGTTGAAGGTGGGTGCAGCCAGCTGCTTGTGTTTGTGAGATACGGTTGTCAGGAAATGAAGCTGTGTCTCTGCCCTGCACCCCTGCTCCCATCACAGTCCCCAGTAGGTACCAGCTCACCCAACATTGCCCAACTAGGCCTGTCTCCAGGTTTGTGGGCACGGATTATTCCCAGACAAGCTTCCTGCCGCCTTTCTTTTGTGACGCTTTGGGGCTCCCTCTGCAGCATCTCTGTCAGGGCAAATCACATGTTAAGAGTGTCCCCACCGCACCAAATGGAGGGTGTTTGGAGGATCCTCCCAGGAGGGGAGATGCAGGTTGAAAGTAGATTGGACTGAACATGTTTGCCACTCAATGCCTCTTTTGCTGATCACAACACCCAAAAGGAGAGAGAAAACAAAAGGAAATGCCCTGCCACAGTGGCAGGGAGGGATGGGGGGAATGGGGGAGGAGGGATATTATCCTTGGTGGTGGAAAATGGGCACTGGTGGAGGGATGGGTATTTGATCATGGTATGACCGAAATCCAAGCACAAAAATTTGTAAGTCTATAACTGTACCTCATGGTGTTTCACTAATAAAATTTTTTTTAAAAAAAAAGAGTGTCCCCACCAAGCTGCTCCCAGCTGGGGAGGGGCACCGAAGAAGGAGTAAGGGATGACAATAGTCGCAGCAAGGTGCCTTCTCAGGCATTTGTGGGGGGGCCCAAGGCAGGATCACTCCAGTGCACTCTCTCCAAGAGAGCCAGGTGTCTGTACCTCCCGGGGTCCCAAGGATGCTGAGCAGCTTCTTGAGGTTCCTTGGCTTCTACTGAGAAAAATACTCAAGACACCTGTCCAACCTGGTCCCTGAGCATAGGTGCCAGATCAAGTGTCTGGGCCACACCTTCGGATGCTCTGGGGAGAATCTTTCTTGGTAGCTGAGTAGTACTTGATATTCCTGATACCTCTAATGATCCTGGAGATCCTTATATTCCTGGTGATCCTGGTGCCCTTGGTCCCCGTAGCCTTCCTGGCTCTTCTTGCCTGTGACCCTGCCTTGTATGTCTCTCTCATTACAGGTTGTCTCAGTGACTGTTCTTTTTAGCAGGGTACATGGGGCCACCAGAACCTGCTCCTCTTAAATTCCTACTTCTAGATCTGGTCCAGCAGAAGGACCGTGGATATGCATTTGAGGGCCACACCTGCTTACCTGCAGACCAGGGTCAGGCAGGCATTGTGTGAAGGACTGTCCCAGGGAGTCTCAGAGACCTCCCCCTCAGCATGCCCATCTGCAGGATCAGGTGGAACTCAGGGAAATGCCTCCCACTGGGCCACCATGGTTTCCATGCCTTTGAAGGCTGGGGGATCAGACACGTGTCTCCAGCAAATAGCAGGCAAACAGACAAGTCACAGGCTAGGTGGGGAGCCGGACTGTCTCTGCCCAGCTGTGTCCCTGGGGCTGGCTCTGGAACACAGAGGGGAAGAAGTGTCAGTGTGGTCACAGGCTGCACTCCATTAGCACATCGCCAGTGTCCAAAAGCCTCTGGAAGGGCTGTGGTGGAACTGGGCTTGCTCTGGGGGTCCGCAGGGAGCAGGCCCCTAGGAGGCTCCTTAGATTGGCTTGCAAGGGGGTGTGGGCTGTCTCCTTCCTGTCTCCCTACCCCATGTTAGCTGAGAGGGGAAGCTGCCGGGGTCTGCAGGACTACTCCCTATCCTGCTTGCAGGGACACCACAACCTAGTCCTCTCCACATCCCCAGGTACCCTTCACCCTGGGGTGTGTCATGGTGTATCTCCCACCAGTGTATGGGGCACCCCTCACCTAAGTACAGAGGGTCTTACATCGGTGAAAGTGGGTTTTCTGGGTCTGTGTAGGGGGATCTCACAGCTGGATAAAGGAAGTGATCAGGGTGCAGGGCGTATCCCCCACCTGTCTTAGGTAGCCTGCATTCCTTTTCCAGTGCTGTGGAGACCATCTCCTAGCTGGTTCCATTGAAGACAACTTGTGGGGTCCCAGCCTTTTGCTGTTACAGCCGAAGTGACAAGGAGGTGCCTTGTATAGCCCCAATTCCGCTTGTGAATAGGCTTGGCCACGGATGCCCAAAGTGGAATTGCTGGGCTGGAGACAGTACCGCGGTTAGGGCACTTGCCTTGCACACAGCCAACCAAGTTCCATCCCCGGCATACCTTAGCCCAGCCAGGAGTGATCCCTGAGAGCTGAGTTAGGAGTAAGCACAGCCAGAAGTGGCGCAAAAAGCAAAAAGATGTCAAATTGCCTTGTTTAAGGGCAAATAAAGTATAAGCTCAGTATGGACTGAGATACCAGATCCCCTGCGTCCCCCCAGCCATTTACCCCAACATCTGTGCACCCCCAGCAGTGTACCTGTACCCCAGATCCCTGCAACCCCCATACTGCTCAGCCTGCCCCGCCACGCCCTGTCACAAGGCCTGGCTACAATGGAAAAAGAGGTGCTTCTGGTGGTTTTCGGTGCTTCTCCAAGGGCCTCTGGTCCTACAAGTGACCCCCTGGGACGTTCCCACTCCTTTCCTGCTGCCCTTCCCTGCACTCCCAGGGTACCTCAGGGATGCTCCTGCATTCTGCCCCTTTCTTTGACTTAGGGTGAATTTTGCCTGAGATCTTTTCTAATGGTGTCTGAATGTCTGAATAGTTAATCATGTTTAGTTTCCTTTTTTTGTTTTGCTTTTTGTCACACGTGGCAGTGTTCAGGGCTTATTCCTGGCTCTGTACTTCTGGCAGTAGGAGGACGACGATAGGAGAAGTACCAGGGGCCAAACTCAGGTAGGGTTTTCTGCAAGGCAAGCACCCTACCTGCTCTACTACCACTCTGATCCCATTAATCGCAGTTAGAAAAGCATTTCCTCAGTCCAAGTTATTCTTTTTATTTTTGTCAGTGTTGTGGCATTTTATTTATTCTTTTTTTTTCAGATTTTTAGAATTTTTTTCTTTTTTGGGGTCACACCCGGCGATGCACAGTGTTACTCCTGGCTCTGCACTCAGGAATTACCCCTGGCGGTGCTCAGGGAACCATATGGGATGCTGGGAATCGAACCCGGGTCGGCTGCGTGCAAGGCAAACGCCCTACCCGCTGTGCTATTGCTCCAGCACCAGTCCAAGTCATTCTTTCACTTGAGTGGTTTTTTTTTTGGGGGGGGGGGGCCTCACCCAGTGATGCTCGGGGGTTATTCTTGGCTCTGCGGCTCAGGAATCACACCTGGCAGTGCCCAGGGGGCCGTATGGGATGCCGGGGATTGAATATGGGTTGGCTGCGAGCAAGGCAAGCGCCCTCCCCGCTGTACTGGCCCTTCTAGTGTCTTTAAACGAATGTTTATTGTGGTAGAAAGTGTCAGATGACATTTGCCACATTAACCACAAAGAAGTGAACAGTCAGTGGCATTACTCACGTTCACTAGGTTGTGCCACCATTCCTATCCATCTCCAGAACTTTCTCCGTGTAACGGGTTTGTAAGGGCAGAACCCTCGGTCCGCTGGGAGGAGTGAACCCAGTTCCCTCTGTCCTTTCCCGGTGCTGACCCATACAAAACCCCGCTTGAAGCGCTTGTCCTCTTGTCCCTCCAGAGACGGGCGCGGGCGCCGGTGGGAAGAGTGGAGGGAAACCGGGAGCCCCGACTCCGAGGGCGCGCAGGCCCGGGTGGGGCCGCCAGGGCTCGTACGGCTGCGCAGGGCGGCGGGGCCCGCGCGTGCAGGCGGGGTGGGGCGAGGCCTAGACGGGAGGAGCCGCAGCACGCAAAGTAGGCGGGGTGAGTAGGTGGGGAGGTTGGTGGCCCGAGTGGAGCGCGGGGCTCGCGGGGGCTGGGAGGTGGGCGGAGCGGCGGGAAAGGCGCGGCCCAAGGCGGGCGCCCGGTTCGCGGGAGTGGGGCGGGGATGGGGGGCGGGGCTCTTCCCGATCCCGACGCGGGATTGGCGGGAGCGGAAAATAGGCGGGGCGAGGGCGGCCCGAGCTCGGTGCAGAGTTGGCGGGAGCGAGGGGGTGGGGGGGCGGGGGCGGGGCGTCCGAGCCCGGCGCGGGGTTGGTGGGAGCGGGGCGGTGGACGGGGCGGCCGAACCCGGCGCGGGGTTGACGAGAGGGGGAAGTAGGCGGGGCAGGCGCCGTCCGATCCCGGCGCGGGGTTGGTGGGAGCGGGAGGTGGGCGGGGCAGGCGCGGTCCGAGCCCGGCGCGGGGTTGGCGGGAGCGGGGAGGTGGGCGGGGCGGGGGCGGCCGAGCCCAGAGCGGGGTTGGCGGGAGCGGGAGGTGGGCGGGGCGGGCGGCCGGGCCCGCGGGGGCGGGGCGGGGGCGGGGCCTGATGACGCGCGCCGACGCTATCCCGGAAGCGGTGTCAGAGGCCGGGAGCCGGGCGGGCGGGCGGACTTGTTGTTCTTCGCGAAGTCGGAGCCGGAGCGCGCGGCGCGGGCGGTGGCCGCGGGGAGCGAGCGCGAGGGGAGAGAGCGCGAGCCCAGGAGCCGCCGCGCGCCCGCGCCTGCGCGACGCCAGGTGAGCGGGGCCCTGGGCCCTCCGGCCGTGGGTCTCGGCGCGGCGCGGCCCGGAGACCCGCGCACCTGCCGCGCTCCGGCCCGGCCCGGAGGGGCCCGGGGCCGCGCCCAGCCCCTTACGGGCTGCGGCGCGGGCGCGGGGGCGGGGGGGCGCGCCACGTGCCGGCCGTGCGGACCCCGCGGGGCGCCTGACCGGGGCGGGCCGCACCTGCCACCTGTTGCGGGACCCCGAGCCGGGCGGGCGGGCGTGCGGGGGCGGCCCGCGGGGGTCCCAGGGGGCGGGCTCGGGCTCGGGGGCGGGCGGGCAGCGGGCGCGGCGTTTCTAGACGCTTCTGCCCGCCTCCACGTGCGCGCGGGCCCTGCGCGTCTGTGCTCGGGCCGCCGTGGCGAGTGCAGGTTCCGGGCCGGACCGGGACCGGAGCCGGGCCGTCCGCGGAAGTGGGCCGGCGGGCGGCTGTAAACAGTGACTCACCGCCCCGCCTCCCGCGACGCGGCCCCGCTCACTTGCTTTTCCTGAGCCACTCGCGGCGCGGTTCCTCTTTCTCACCGCTCCGGGGAAACTGAAAGTGTTTTCTCGAGAACGTAGGGCAGGTGGGACGAACCTGGAGGCGGTGCGGTCCGCACCCGCGTCGTGTAGCAGTGGGAGCCAGGCCCGAGGGTGTCCCCAAGCTGCTTTCTCCCAGTTTCCAGGAATAAAGAAAGCCAAAAAAAAAAAAAAACCAGGAGCCCAGTTGCGCTCAGAAGCCCCCACCCTCGCGGGCCTTCTGCTAGGACCACCCATCCTGCTGGTCTGTGCTTGGGGCCCCAGATCTCCCTGGGCTGGCCATGGGGTGCCCGGAGCCGTGGGATGCCTTGGAGGGTGCAGGAGAAGGGGGTCAGACCAGGAGAGGTCAGGGCGCTCGGCGGGGAGGGGGGCAGGACCTTCAGGGACCCAGGGCTGCCCTAGAATAGTTGGAGGGTGCAGAGCTGACCGGTGGGGGTGTGACGCCTGGTTGCTGCCAGCCCTGGGTCACCTCTGGATGGAGCCAGGGTGACACAGCTTCCTGCCACTGCAAAGACGAGGTGACACATGTCCTCCGGCCGCAGACAGTCACGTCCTGCCCAAGGGCGGCCTGCCAGGGCCAGCCTGCAGCTGGGCGGGGGCTGGACTGGGGGTTCTAGCGGGAACTGTGGGACATGCCCCTGAGCTCGGGGCCTGGTGTGTGGAAGCTCCTGGGAGTGAGCCGGGTCGAGGATGTTTGTCTCCCTGAGCTCCTGACTGGTGAGGGACACCTAGTCTGGGGTCACTGAAGACGCCCTGTCCCTTCCACCATCCTCAGGGCAGCAGCTTCTGACTGAGCTCTTGCACCCTCGGGGAGAGTCAGCCCTGCTCAGGGGACACTCCCTGAGCTCTTGGAGAGTTCAAACAGGTGCCCGGGAGTGTGTGGCAGAGGCGTCTGGACCCTGAACCTCTGCTGCACCCAGGCAGAGGAGCGCAGTAGACCCTTCAGGAAGTGTGCAGGGTCCTGACAGCGCAGACCCCTCTGCTGAGGAGCCCCTGTCTCTTTCCTGGGGGCCTGGGTGCGGGGCTTTGTGCCCCTCGCTGGGGCGGGTAGGCTGCAAGTTCTCAGCGACTTGACCGAGGTCGGAAGCCAGGCAGTGGTGGTGGTGGCTGGTGGGCACAACCCCTGCCACGGCTGCAGGCGCTCGGCTCTCGAAGCGCCTCACGCTGGAGCCCCTTTCTCAGCCACGTGGGAAGTGGCACTGGGGTCTGTGCTGGGCATCAGCTTCTAGGAGCCGCGAGGGCCGGGCAGAGGTGCCGGCAGGGTCTGCTGTTGTGGCACCGCAGGCGGCCAGAGCAGAACTAACTGACCGAGTCCCTCCCCTCCCGCCTGTCAGACCCACCTCCACATCTGCACGTGCTGCCCTCCACCTCCCTCAAGCTCCTCCCACAGAAGGTTCTAGGCTTAAGGGAGTTCCCACGGTGCCCCCAACCGGAACCCAGCCGCTCTGTGCAATGTTCCCCAAGGCTGGGGGTGTCAGTGGCCTTGGGTGGGGCTGTGCCCGGCCACCTTGCGGTCATGGCCCCCCCCCCATAGAGGGTGGTGGCCTGGCCAGCCGGGCCTTCCCGCGGGAGCAGCAGCCTGGCGGCCGGAATGTGACTGGCTCCTGTAAACAGGGTGACTCACCGCCCAGCTATGCCCGCTTCCCGGCCTGTGTGCTGGCGCCGCCCCCTCCCGACATGGAAAAGTTTCCCAGGGCTTCAGATCACTGCTGGCGATGGCCTTGACCTGGGGGTGGGGGCTGGAGGGGGGCTTCTCTGTTCTCGGAGGGTGCCCCCATCCTAATCATCACCCTGGGCCAGAGAACAGCCAGGTTTGGGGGCAATGGGCTCCAGGCCCCTGGGAGAGAAGAGAGGAGCCTCTGGGTACCACTGGCAGGGTCTGTGTTTGGGGGTCTCTGATGTGAGCTGCCTGTTCTCCCGCTGGCCTCTGGAGACACCCCCGATGGCCATGCAGGGTCCTGGCCGGTGGCTGCTGTGGGCTTCCCTGTTGCCATGGCGACCATCAGGGTTGGCTACTTCCCAAGGTCGCCATGGCAACTATCAGGGGGGAATCGTGCATGGGATGGGTTGGCTGCTTTTCTATGAATGATTACAATGTGTGACCCAATACAGGGAGGTGTTAAGCAGGGTGGACGTTGGGGCTGACCCCCCCCCCACCAGGTTTCTTCCTTCAGCCCTGTACCACCCCGCCCACCAGGGGTTTGGGGCCTGGCAGGTGGTGCAGTGATGTCACCACTGCAGTGCCCTTCAGCACCACTAGGTCTGCTGAGGTGGGCGGGGCCCCAAGCATGGTGAGAGCCCCTCTGGTGGGCAGGATGCCATGGGGCCTGTCAGCACTGGGCCCCCAGACAGATGTCGGAATTCGGGGCTCAGGCACCTGCATCACCCCCATGCCGGGAGCTCCCAGCACTGCCCCCGAGGGTGTCCGGCAGCTCAGACATGGGCTCTGGAGGATACTCACTCCAGATGCTGGGGGGCAGTGAGGACGGGGTGAGTTCTGACGACTGCTGCCTGGCCCGACCAACCAGGTCTGCTCTGTCTCCCTAGTGACAACTCCCAGTGCTTGTCGGGTGCCGGTGCCAGGTTATGACGACGACTCCCAGACCGAACAAGGCACTAAAGGTGAGCGGGAGGTGTGGGGTGCGGCCTGCTGAGACCAAGTCCCCTCTATGTGCCTTTCACCTGGGAGCAGAGTGGGGGCTTGGGGTTTTCGTGTGTGTGTGGGGGGTGGTCCACTCCCTCCACATCTAGCAGGGTGGACGTGGCCTGGCAGAGGGCTCTGGAGGTGCCAGGGGTCCTTCTCTGCCACCCGCTGTGTTGCTGGCCCCATGCCCTGGTGACCAGGTGGGATGGGCCAGGGACAGGCGGTGTCGGTGCCCGGGGAGCCCAGGGCTCAGCTGTGTGCCCCGCAGGTCAAGAAGGAGGCGGGCGAGAACGCCCCGGTGCTGAGTGACGATGAGCTGGTGTCCATGTCGGTGCGGGAGCTGAACCAGCACCTGCGTGGCCTGACCAAGGAGGAGGTGGTGCGGCTGAAACAGCGGCGTCGCACTCTCAAGAACCGCGGCTACGCCGCCAGCTGCCGCATCAAGCGCGTGACGCAGAAGGAGGAGCTGGAGCGGCAGCGGGTGGAGCTGCAGCAGGAGGTGGAGAAGCTGGCCTCGGAGAACGCCAGCATGCGGCTGGAGCTGGACGCACTGCGCTCCAAGTACGAGGCCCTGCAGACCTTTGCCCGCACCGTGGCCCGCAGCCCCGTGGCGCCCACCAAGGTGGCCACCACCAGCGTCATCACCATCGTCAAGTCGGCCGAGCTCGCCAGCTCCGTGCCCTTCTCAGCCACGACCTAGTGCGGGCGGGACGCCCCTTGGGGATGGACCTGGGGGCCTCCCCAGGCTGGGCAGTGGGGCCAGAGGCGTCGCTCTTGGTCCACGGGACCTGTGTCCCCACCACGTGCCTGTCTGTGCCCTGGCCAGTGGGCGGGCGCCTGCACTGACCCCCGGACTCTGACGGAGGCCGGCTCTGCAGGACACACGTGGCCCTGGGTGACCTTTGCCCAAGCCGCTGCTCACACACTGTGGGGGGGTGGGGGTGCCCATAGGAGGGATGTGGGTGCAGGTGGGGAGACATTCTCTCTGCGTCGGGGTGACTGAGGGGCCTCTGGTGAGGCTGGGACGGGGACTGCTGCCCTGGGGCTCCAGCGCCGCCCAGGCTGGCCAGACCTTCTGCGCCCGCTCCCCGGGGCTCAGATGCTGAGGACATTGGAGCCTTTCCCAGAGCACTGGGTTCTGGGAAAGGCGGGCGTGCCCTCAGCGCCCCTGCCCGGCAGACCCCCTCACCATGCCCCAGGGAGAGGTGGGTGACAGCCGGCACCAGAGGCCACAGCACGGCTAAGGGCCTGCTGGGGCAGAGGGCAGGCCAGCTGTCAATGCCGTAGCACGGTAGGTAATCCACATTGGATGTCATCGGGCCACGGGGAAATATTTAAAAGAGAGACTTCTATATATATATAAAATTATATCACATTTTACCGTACAGAGTTTTCGTACCTTTTTCTCCAGTTTGATACTGTAAAGCCGGACACGCAGAGCCACGCCGCGGGCCCCCAGCGTCCCTCCCACTGCGGTGTGTCCACCGTCACAGTGTGAAGCTGGATTTTTTATTTAAGAAACAGCCCCTAGTCGGGGCAGCCCACCTTCCTGCCCCCCACAAGCCGGCCCAGGGGAGCGGGTGCTCCGTTTCGTGCTGCTGCTTCCTGTGATCTAAGTTACTGACGAGCCCTGAGCTCCTCAGCCCCCTAATTTATTGTTCTTCATCTGCTGCAGCGCTTTGTACCGTCAATAAAGTTTTCTAGGCCCTGCGAGCAGCTCTGTGCTTTGGGTTGGGGTGTGGGGTCTGCCAGCCACCGTGCCCCCCAAGCCCCCCATCCACACACACTGGGTTCAGGCAGCAGCAGGGAAGTGAACTCTGCCCTCCTCCCCCCAGGTGTAATACCCAGCCAGTGGTCAGATCTGGGGTGGCTGTGAGAGGCCTGAAATAAGTGCAGCACGCCTCGCACCACCCAGCCAGGGCCCACCCAATCTTCGGGAGCTGGTATGGGGTGGTGAGACTCCCGCAGGGCCCGGAGATCTGGGCTGGGGCTTCCTCTGCCTGACCTGTGGCCCGTGCCAGCTCCCAGCCCACTGCTACTGTAACCTGTCTCTGCTTCCTGACTTCTGTGGCTTGCCACGGGTAGCTGGGTGGCAGGGCTGGTAGGCGGGGGCAGGGGCCCACTTCCCCTCGGGGGCCTGCATGTGCCCTCTCCCCTGCAGGAGCCTGCTCCTGGGGCTGCCCCTGGGGTCTGTGCTGGGAGTGTGGGGCTGGGCCAGTGCCCATGGCTGCTCCATCCCAGTCGGGCACATGTGCCAGGGTGTCCCCTTCAGGCCAGCCTTGGTCCAGCGGACCGTGGGCACTCGCTACCTGCCATCTCCTGACCCCCGGGAGGCTACTTTCCGGGCGCACCCTCCCCCAGGTCTGCTGAGTGACCTGTTAAGCGCCTGGCACTGGCGGCACCAGGGTGGGGCCGTGTGTCGGGCATGATAAGCAGAGGCCGGAGGTGGCTCTGCAGGTTCTCCCCATACAGCTGGCCTCGAGACACTGGCCAGAGCAGGCCCTCAGTCCAGTCTCCTGTGTCTCCCCCTTCCCCGGAGCCTGTAGTAGGAGCCTGCAGTCTAGGTGGGCTCCCGAGGCCCAGCCCCTGCCCACTGCCCTGTACCTGGGCCCAGTGAGTGTCCCCTGCACGAACACTGACCCAGCCCCACGCAGCGGCCCATCGCCCATCATTGGAGGGGGTTAGGGCAGCCCCCAGCACCACCAGGCTCTGCAAAGGGGCAAGGATGGGGGTCCCAATCCCAATCCCGGGAAGAGACACAGACTGGGTCTGTCCTGGGCTGAGCTGAGGACCCTCACACCCCCGGCGAGGGTCAGGCCAGCCAGTAGAAACGCTTATGTTTATGTATAAATAGGTAGTGTGGGCGGGGCACAGGGCAGGGGCCCACCCTCCCAGTCCTTGGCTCCCAGGCCTGGCTGGTCCAGCAGGGCAGAGCACACCGCAGCCTCCGGGCTGGCCGGCCCCTATGGCTCCTCTGAGGGGATCAGCTCTCTTTTCTCCGTGTTGCCCCTTCCAGGGCCGCTGGCCAAGCCAGGGGGCATGCGGGACACAGAGCGTGGGCTCTGGCCGGGCGCCTCGTGTGTGGCCTGCTGCGTGTAGCGCTGGTAGGCAGGGGAGAAGTTGTGGATGACGTCGTGCACGATGTCACGGGGGCTCACCGTCTCCTTGAGGCCACTGGAGATGCTCTGCATAGGCGCTGGTCAGGGCGGGGAGTGTGGGTGCTGCTGCTGCCGAGCCTGATCTCCCTCCCCGCCCCCCGGCGGCCCCCAGGGTGGCGGGCATGCTCACCTGGCGGGTCCTTCTTCTCCGAGTACACCTGGCACGGGAAGGCGCGGCGCAGCGCCACTGCCGCGAACACCATCTCCACGCAGATGAGGAAGTTCTGGTAGCCGGCGGCCAGCGTGCCGGCGCCCACACGGCTGCCGTCCACGTCCTGCACCTCAGGGATGGCCCCGCACCGCTCCAGGATGGCCAGCAGCATCCCTGGGGACAGCCGCCCGTCAGCCATCAGCCGCGCCCCTCCCCCAGAGGCTGGGCCACTGCACCTGGGCTCAGCTCTGCCCTCACCTGGTGCATGAGACCCCCCCTGGACCTGGGCAGCTGGGCTCCGAAGCCCCGCCCAGCGGTCCGACCCACCCTGCCAGAAGGACAGGAAGACGATGGCCTTGATGGTGAGGAACTTGAGGACTGGCTCGAAGGGCTGCAGCAGCTCCCGGGTGGTGAAGTAGAAGAGGAGTAGGGCGTACAGCGCCAGGCTGGCCGACGCGTTGTAGGTGAGGGTGACGTACAAGTAGCCGCTGTGGATGCTGGGGCCGGAGCAGGGGCCAGCGCTCAGTGGGGGGGACCCCGCCCCTCTGGCCTCCCTAACCCCAGCCCAGCGGGCCTGTACCCACTCCCAGGCAGCAGTCACCAGGCAGAGGTCTTAGGGCCCCTAAATTCCCAGAACAGCTCCACCAGGGAGGCCTCCCTCACCCCCTGCGTCACGGCCCTGTGCCTGCGTGGTGACTGCACGTGGGAGAGGTGCTCGCTCCCGTGCTTGGGGGAGTGCACGTGCATCTGACCTGTGTACATGTGTGCACATGCACACATACCTGTGAAGACACATGGAATGTGTGTGCTTGGTGCATGCCAGGGGCCTGCTTCCCTTGCTCCCCCCCCATGGCCTCCCTAGTGAAGAGTGGGCTCCTGGCCCAGTGCTCCTGAACCCGCCTGTGGTCTGGAGGTGAGCGGGTGGGTCAGTCCCTCCCCCTGCCCCCAACAGCCTTACCTGAAGTCCCCATCGTGGTATCTGCCCAACGCCTGTAGGACAATGGTGGCCACAGCCATGACGGGCTTCACCACACAGAACTGCAGCGTGGCCTGGGCACGGGAGGACACAGCGAGGGGAAGGTCTGGGCGCCCCCAGCACGTGCCCCCCACACCCGGGGCACCAGCCGGGCTCTCACCTGCTTACAGAAGCGCAAGAAGCCAATGGAGTAGGACAGCCCCCCCAGGCAGCACGTGCCGTAGACGCAGCTGGACCTGTGGGGTGGGCACAGTTCCTGAGGTCAGTCCCGGCCAGCGGCGGCACTCGGGGTGTTGGCTCACGGGAAGGGCCCCCTTACCGGATGGGCTTTCCCCGGATCTCTGCCATGATGGCGCTCTCGCCGCCCAGGTACTGGAAGCAGAGACTCAGGAAGCTGTAGATGACAAAGGCTGCGGCCTTGGACAGTGAGCCCAGGCTCGTCTCTCTCACACACACACACACACACACACACACACACGCACACGGACCCTCCCGCCTGGCCCGCTCCAGGCAGCCCAGGGGCAGCGCCCACCTGGGGAATCCAGTTGTGCTGCGCAGGGACGTCCCCCCAGACGCCCGCCCAGACAGCGGCCTCGCTCACCCTCATAGCAGTCCCGCACGGAGTCCAAGTAGACGTAGTACTGGTGGCCACCCAGGAGGAGGAGGCTGAGCCAGGAGTCGAAGGCATAGACGGGCACGATGAGGAGCAGGCGGACGATGTAGCGCTGCTCGTGCGGGACCGTGTAGGAGCGCAGGTGCAGGTAGATCTGGGGACCACAGTGGGGTCGGTTACAGCAGGCCAGGGGCTCCTCCAAGAAGGCCACACCTCCCTCCCTCCCTCCCTCACCCCTTCACTCCCTCCCTCACTCCCTCCTTCACTTCCTCTCTCCCTCACTCCCTTATTCACTCACTCACTCATTCACTCACTCACTCTCTCACTCACTCATTCACTTCTTCACTCCCTCCCTCAATCCCTCACCCCCTCAATTCCTCCCTCACTCCCTAACTCACTTCCTCACTCACTCACTCATTCCCTCATTCAGTCACTCCCTCCCTCCCTCTCTCCCTCATTCACTCCCTCCTTCCCTCACTCCCTCCCTCCTCTCATTCCCTTCCTCCCTTTCTCACTCCCTAATTCACTTCCTCACCCCCTTATTCACTCACTCTCTCTCTCCCTCCCTCCCTCACCCATTTACTCACTTCTTCACTCACTCACTCACTCACTCCCTCACTCCCTCACCCACTCATTCACTCCCTCACTCCCTCACCCACTCACTCCCTCACTCCCTCACCCACTCATTCACTCCCTCACTCCCTCCCTCACCCACTCCCTCACAAACTCATTCATTCACTCCCTCACTCACTCGCTCATTCACTTACTATTCACTCACTCCCCCACTCACTCCCTCACTCACCCACTCATTCACTTACTCATGCATTCAGTCACTCAGTTATCCATCTATCCAGCTGTCATTCATTCATTCACTCGCTCATTCATTCATTCACTCCCACGTTTGTCCATCATCCTTCATTCATGCATGACCGAGAATTCCTGAGGCCCGTCCATGCCTGAGTGGTGAGAGTGGACACTGCTGTCATTTCAGCGTGGCTGGGAAAGAATGGTACCCTGTGTCCTCTCTGGGCGTCATTCTGAGACATCCCGAAGCCCAGGGTTTGTAGGGGCCCTGTGTAGGGTGTGGATGACGCTGGGTGCAGTCACCGTGGGGGACCAGTCAGAGAAGGAGATGCTCAGCCATCTGGTCCACCTGGCAGGAAGTGAATGAGGCGCCCCTCATCCTGCCCCTGAGCAACAGAGGCTCAGGGATCAGGGGGACCTCTCCAGCCTGGGTGCCCCCCCCTAAATCAAGGGGGTTGAGTCACAGTCACTGGACACGGAGTGCATGGCCCCCTGAGTTCCATCCCCGGCACCCCATAGTGTCCCCTGGCCTCTCCTGGCGAGATCCCTGGACCCAGAGCCAGGAGCAAGTCCTGAGTAGCTCCAGGTGTGGCCCCAAACCAGAACTAAATAAAGCAAGGGTGCTGGCCATTCGCTATCCCCCAGGCTCTGGTGGGAATGGAGGGTGGGGGGAGCTCAGCCCTTGGGGTCCGGGCCGTGGCTCTCTGGGAGGCTGAGTCCCAGGCACCTGGTTCAGATCAGGTCTGCACAGAAGAGGGTCACAGCCCAGGACACAGGCACTGGCCTGCCTGGCCCTGGCTGCTGGGTGCTGCTGCCCTGGCTGGCCCTGTCACCGCAGCCCGAGACCTTCCCCCTCCAGGCAGAGTAAAGTAGCACCCAGGGGCCCACAGGTAAATCACCAGCACCCAGGGGCCTCGTGCTTCAGGGCAACTTGTTCTGGAGCCTCTGGCTACCCTCTTTCTCCTCGGCCTGTTTCTTGCTGGGGTCACCCCAAGTCATCCCCGGGTTCCCCCAGCTCCAGTTGAGCTACTGGAAGGATGATGATGCCCCCTGCCAGGACCCCAGAGCCCCAAGCTGAGGGGTGATGGAGCGCAGCCTCCCCACTCCCCCCAACTGGGAGCTCTGTCCCTCCACCCAGGCCTGTGGCTGGTCCTGCCCGACGCCCCACAGAGTCCAAGTCCGGGCTCACAGCTGCCCAGGAGCCGGCCTGGCACTGCTCTGCGGCACCCCTGTGAGCGCAGTACCCGCTGTGCCCAGACAGTTACCTGGTGGCAGGAGAGCATCAGCGCCACCCCCACGAATGTGCCCGACAGCCCGCGGGCCAGCGCCGAGGTGAGGAAGAGCTGGGTTGTGTCCTGTGAGCTGTTCCCCACAGGGGACATCTGCGGCCCGGACTGCAGGGGGGCACTGGCTGTGCCCATGGTCTCCACGGCAGTGCTCATCCTAGGGGACCGGGCATCAAGGCAGGGAGTGAGCGCGGGTGCGCTGGCAGGTGGCGCCAGGCAGGGCAGTACCCAGGGCCTGCCGGGGGGGAGGGGTGCCCTGAGCCTAGGCCATGTCCTCACTGCCCCTGCATGGGCCGCACCCACCGGGGGCTCTGGGCTTGCGGGGACTGAAGGCCTAGGAAAGAGGCCTGTGACTGCCAGGTGGTGGCATCGGGACGCCCAGGCTGGCACTGGGTAACAGTCGCCCAGTGCAGAGTCCCTGGGAGGAACCCGGTCTCCTGGCGCCCCGCCCCCTCACGGCCTCCCCAACCCACCCACGCCCGGCAGGCAGCCCCTGCTGCCCCGGCCATGCCTACCTCTCAGTCAGGAAGCTCCTGTCCCAGCCCAGGCCTGGCCTCCAGGGACACCTGGCTGGTCATCGGTGTGGCCACGTGGCTGCCCTGGAAACCACACGGGGGCGGTGCAGGCTGGGAGGTGCCTCCACGGGCCACCTGAGCTCCCAGTACGCGCCCCCCCCGCCCCCCCCCGCGCCACGGAACCGTGCACAGCACCCGCTGGCTGCCAGCGCTCCTGCTCCCGTGCCAGGTGGCTGTCAGCCATGCCCCAGCACCAGGGAGGGGCGGGGCCTGCCCAAGAGGCAGCACTCCTGCAGGGGTGACAGGAAGCGCAGTGGACAGCTGTCCCTGCGCAGGCCTTGTCCACCCCAGGCCAGCTCGGAGGCTGGGCACGGGCTGTGCACAGGGACCTGCTTGGCTGTGAGGATCGCCCCCACGGGATGGTTGGTCTTTGCAGATTTTATCCCCAATAGTGGAGCCCCCTTGGCGATATTTCTGGCCTTGGGGGGAGGGTTCTCTGTATCCCCACTGCAGTGGGGGGGGGGGTCTCTGCGGCTGTGGTAGACACAGGAAGTCGGCAGGCACAGACGGGGTGGGGGCAGAGTCGGGAGGCTGGAGGCAGGAGCTGGGGGCCAACAGTACTAGCCTGCTTGAAGGGTATTCAGGAAAGGGCTCACATAGCAGGTGGGAAACTGAGGCAAAGCAGGGGGACATAAGCTGGGAACCCCACCATCTGAGGCAGACAGACGGTTCCTTGGGAAAAGGCACTGTGGCTAGGTCCCTCAACAACAAGCACAACTGTGGGGGGAGCAGCGGATCTTAGCACCAAGGACCCTGGGTAGAGCCGCCTGCTCACAGCAGGACAGCCGGGCGCTCACCTCTCCAGGGTGGTTCTCACAGTCCTCTTCAGCCACCACCTCCAGGAAGTTCTCCGAGAAAGTTCTGGCTCTGAAGCTCTTCCTTCCACCAAAAAAAAAAATATCCAAGGCTAGCCCTGGCTATCCTGACCTTCCTATCCCCTGCTGGACATTCTCCAATGTGGGACTGAAGATGGGGACCTCCATGTCCTCTCCACCGCCCCCCTCTGGTTTCTGGGTAGTGCGCACAGGGCAGCCCCAGGCCTCTGTCCTGCCAGGCTCCCCCCTCAGCAGGCCCAGCTGATCTGGGCTTCATTCTCCTTGGTGAAAGAAGTCTCAGGTTTGGGGGTCCCTCAAGGGGGGCGGAGGGCATCTTGAGGGCTGGTACTTCCCGCGCCGGCTGCGGCTTTCTGGGACCAGGACCCTGAGCTAGCCGGGCACAGCCACCACCGGGGCCACCCTGGGGCTCCTCACTGCGCACAGCCAGAACCTGCGGCCTGCTCACTGCCACAGCCACTCGACAGGGAGGACCAGGCCGGGCGGGGGCACGGGAGCTGCCTGTGGGCTAGGCTCTGCCCACCCAGGGCGGGTAGGCCTGGGCCAGCGGACTGCCAGCTTCATGGGACCCCAGGAAGTGAACCCACCTGTCATCCCCGGGCCAGTGGGCTACCGCCCACAAGGACGTGCCCATGGACACTCTCGGCCACCCCCTCCCAGCCCACTCAGTACCCAAAGCACGGGAGGATGCACAGGAGCTCAGTCAGGGGGAGGCTCGCGGTCTTTCTCACACGTACTCACACTCATACACACACACTCATACAACACTCATATACACATACATATACTCACACTCATACACACATGCACGTACTCACACACTCATACACATATTCACACACTCATACACACACACTATACACTCATACACATTCACACACTCACACTTATACACCACTCATACACATACTCACACTCATACACATTCTCACACTCATACACATACTCACACTCATACACATACACTGAGACATACTCACACACTCATACTCACTCGTACGCACACACTCATATGCACATACACACACTATACACTCATACACATTCACTCATACACACCCTCATACACATACATACACACTCATACACACACATTCACACACTCACACTGACTCATTTACACACACCCTGACTCACTCATACACACCCCCTTGCGCACACGCGTGTGCGCGCGCACACATACACACACACACACACGCATACACACGCCCATCATTACTTACAGCACAGGAGCTGCAGCGCGCGGGGCAGAGGTGGGGTGGGTCTGGGACCAGCATGGAGGCCATGGAGGGTCTGGGGGATCAGCCTGAAACCATTCCTCCCCTTCCTGCTGGACCTCCTGAGCAGTGGACCCTGCCTGGGCGGCCACTCCTTGCAGGCGGCCTGAGCCAAGCTGGTTTCTGCAAGTGCCCTAGGCCTGATGTGCCCACCAAGGCCCCTTCTGCTCCTAGGGACCCCCTTGGGGTTCAGGACTGGCCTCTATAGCCAGCGTGTTCCTCCCTGTGATTTGTGCCCAGGGCACCTAGTGGCCTGCCTCTGCCCGCCCACCCATGCTGCCAGCCTGTGTGTGGGCCCAGATGAGTGGCAGGTCACTAGGGCACAGGAGAGATGGGTGAGGCTGATCTAACCTGGCCCCCTCTTGGGCTGGGGTCCCCACAGCAGCTCACCTTCAGGGGCTCCGTCAGTGACCACCTGGCCGGTGACTAGGAAAGGCAGCCAGGGGCAGGCTCCGCTCTCCTGAGTGGGCCTGACCTGGTGCTCCCGGAAGCTGGGTGCGGCCCACACAGAAACTCCTGCCCAGTCCCGCCCCCTGCCAGGCCGGCCCTACCTGCTGCCCTACTGGAGCCACCCCTGGGCAGGGCCCCACCTCCCGGGCAGCAGACAGCAGGAGGGGCCTGAGCAGTGCTGTCATCCCAGCTGTTGAATCAAGCACCCTGCAGTGGACAGGCTCAGGAGGCCGCCACCTGCTTGAGACCGCAGAGGGTGTTGGCCCCACTTGTCCTCTCTCTGCCTGGATGTCTCTGCCTTGTGCTCTGGGAAGGTGTCCCCTGGGCTCAAAGCGACAGTTCAGGGGTGCGTTCCCAGTTTCCTGTGCTCTTTGCCCACTCCATGCTCTCCCTGCTTTCTCAGGGTCACTCTGGGCTTCTGTCCTCACACTCTGCTGGGAGTCGCTCTGGAGACATGCTCGCCTCTAGGCTGCCCCTCTCGCATCTCTCTGGAACTTGGGGGCTCCCCCCCAGGGTGGGCCTGTGGGCTCTTGTTCTGGCTCTAAACTGGCTATGTGTCCCTACCACCACCAGTTCCACTTTTGGTCTCACTCCTGCGGGTCACCCCCACCACGACCCCGGGCTGACCCATAGGGTGTCTCCTGTGGGGTCTGGTCATTGAGGTCCTTTTCCTGGGCGCCTTCGGGCAGGAAACGTCTCAGTGGTCCCTGATGCTCTGGGTACTTGTGAATTGGACAGTGGACGAAGTCTGAGATCCTGGCCTCAAGCACTTGTCCTAAAGCTGACAAGCAGCAGAGCTGGGCAGATGTGACCCCTCGGTCAGTGTCTCTGTCTCTCACCCTGTCCTCCTGGGCCCTGCAGGCCCCATGCCTATTTCCGCTTATGTGCCAAGGAGGACAGGAGAGGCTCTGCCCAGTTGTCAAGAAAGCCAGAGTGCAAGGAGCTGGCCAGGACCTGGAGTGGGGCAGCAAGAGCCTTTCCTGCAGCTGGCACTGAGGCCCCAAATCAGAAACCCTGAAGCTGCAGGTGGGAGTAGCGTGCGGTTCCCCCAGACACAGACCCTTGGCCTGCCTGATGCTCAGGGGCCACTGATGCAGGGTGGCACAATCATCAGATCACCACCATGTCCCCAGGAGGGGAAGGTGTGGCTGGGGGTCCAGGCTTGCCAGTATGGGTCGGGGGACGCTGGAACCCATGGCCATGTGGGCAGTAGGGATGGTGGGCCCTGGGGTCTCTCCTACCCCTAGTAGCATCAGCCTGACTCTAGCGGTCCATCTGACGCAGCCAGTCCGTGCCCCCATCTTGGGACTCTGGGTCAGTGGAAGGAGCCTTGAGGAGTTTCCTCCCCTCGCTTCCCCAACATTGGGTCAACAGGGGCTCTGCGAGTTCCACTAGCCTCCTCCAGCACTGCTGGGGACCCCAGGGAGGGGCCTCATTCTGAAGGATTGTATGTGTGTGTGTGCGGGGCCCCAGGACTCAGGTCCAGGTAGTACTGCATTCACTGATGGGTGGCCAGTTGCCATGTAGGCCATCAGGAGGTTGGGGGGCACCGGATGGAAGCTCCCAAGCCCACTCCAAAGCTGCATGTGCAGTGACGTTTCTGAGCACCGTTAACGGCACGAAGTATTCTGAGACACATGTTTATTCTTAATAAAAAAAAAAACTCCTCCCACAACTGCCACCGTGCACAGGGGGCAGCGAGCTGGTGGTGACTTATTCTCCATCTACAGGCCCTGCCCGGCCGGGCCAGCTCCCTCCGGGCAGCTGCGTTGCCCACGGCAGGTCCAGCCACAAGTTCCTCTGCGAGGCCAGCATCCAGGATGGTGCTGGGCGGGGTCACCACACCTGGCAGGTCTGAATGACCTCCCGCAGCGCCTGCAGCCCCTCCAGGCTTCTGTCCTTCAAGGCCAGCGACAGCAGGACCGCTCTGTTCCCGGCTTCTTGCGACACGAACGCCACCAGGTTCTTGGCGAAAACGTGGGTGAGTGGCTGGGGAGGACATGGGCCGCGGCTAAGGGCCTCTTCCTTCGGGAGGGGGGTGGGAGGCTCCCCGCCAAGCTCAGCGGCCGGCCCCGAGGGTGGGGGGCCAGCAGCCCGCGCGGGTGACCAGGGTCCCCCACCCACCATGGTCACGCCCCCACCGGGGGGCCCGTCCGTCCCCCGCCCCCGCCCCGCGCACCTCGTCCTGCCCCAGGAGGACCCGCGTGCTCAGCATGGGCTTGCCGACGTCGCCAGTCACCGGGCTGGGCTCCAGGGCCACGAGCGTGCCCATCTTCCCGAGCTGCGTGACCACCACCAGGATGTGGCTGCTGAAGGCCGTGCAGACCACCTGCGTGGGGACCCCGCGCACCAGCCGGCTCTGCTGCCTGGACACCACGGGCGGCCGGTCCTCCATGGCGGGACGGCAGACACGGCAACGCAGGGAGACGGGGCGAGCCGGCCGGCGCCGCGGGGCAGGGCAGGGCAGCGGGCAGCGGGCAGCGCCGCGCGCGGTACCCGAGAACGCCTGGACCCACCCCGGCCGCTGCACTGCCCGCACGCCGCGCCGCGCCCGGAAATGACGCAACGCGAGCGCCGCTAGAGCGCAGGGAGGCCCCGCCCACCCTTGCGCCCCGTGACAGGAAGCCCCGCCCCTCGCTGCGCCACGCCCACCACTAGGCCCCGCCCGCAGCCACCAGTTTCTGCCGCCCCCCGCCCCCCACCACCACCCGCCAGGCACGCCCCTCTTGGAGGGGCGGAGGTCAGGGGGGCGAGTGCTCGTAGACACTGGGCACTCAAGGGCCGAGCCCGGACCCCGCACGCGTGCGGATTACGAGGCTCCTGCGGGTCAGGGACCCGACCCCCTGTCCATGCCCCAGCCAGGCTTCTGCACCCGAGTCCCTTGGCCACTGCGCGTGATCCCTTATAGCAACGACCCGGGGGTCCCTCCTGCTGCACAGACCCCCAGAGGCCTTTGGATAGAGCACACAGGGGGGCTCGTGTTCCCTCCACTGTCCTGTGAGTCAACAGGGTCAACAGGGCCGTCCTAGTGGTCTGTGGGATGGAGGGCAGGCGCGTGATGGGGGGGCGAGTGTCACTCCACTCCCCGCTGTGCCATGCCTCTGGTCCCACAGTGTCATTTTTCTTTCTTTTTAAAAGTTTGGGGCCATACCCGGAGGTGCTCAGGGCTAACTCCTGGCTCTGCACTCAGGAATCACTCCTGGTGGTGCTCGGGAACTATATGGGATGCTGGGAATTGAATCTGGGTCATCCTCGTGCAAGGCAAATGCCCTCCCGCTCCAGTTCCCCAACAGTCGTTTTCTGTCAATTCACAGAATGGTCACAGCAGGCTGTTCTCACGATGCAGGTCTCCCCAACTCTGGGACGAGACACGGGGCTGCACTTTCTCTGGGGACCCCTCTCTGTCCTTCCTTTGCTTTCAGTCCAGGCCATGTGGACAGGCTGATCAGTAGGTCCTCAGCAGTCTCAGAACCCAGTCCCACGCAGGCTGGGGCCCTTCCTCACTGAGACTGTTCAGTTTTATCTCTGTCACCTCATGGTCCTCAGCAGTGCAGAGCCAACACCCTCACCCCATGGCATGAAGCCATGTAGCAGGGGAAACCCCAACACGCGCCCACGGGGCCCAGACCCACTCCCTGGCCCCCCAAAATAAGACAATGGGGGATTTGTGATTTCCACCTCAGGGTCATCAACACTGAGTGAGGCAGATCAAAAAATGTTGCTGGGGCTTCGGGAGGACAAAGACTAAAAGTGACCATGAGAATTACACAGTTTAAAGCCACATCCCACAGGGAAGGCGGTGTCTCCAGGGGGAATGTCAGCTCCACACTCAAGTCGTGCCAAGTTGGTCAGGATCCGGGGCAGCTTCTGCAGAGAGCGGGCATGGGGGGGAGGGGTCGGGGCGTTGTCTCGGGAGAAGCACCTCAGTCACCTGTCCAGCCAGGGTGCATACCCTGGGGGAGGCGCTCCTGTCCACAGGCTTCTGAGTCCCTGCTGGGTGCAGGGAAGTGTGAACAGAGCTGTGCAGAGCCTCCAGCCGTCCACTGCTTCACGCAGGTGAGGCGGCTCAAGGGGCAGCGCCCCCCCCCCCCCCCCCCCCCCCGCCTCCCTGAGCACGGCCACCCCACTGCCCCAGCGTGCATGGCTGCACACACGTGCTCAACGGGCTCCAGGGGTCCTCTGACCCTGTGGGGCTGTGGTGGGCGGAGCCTCCTGAACAGGGGCCCTGTGGGGGGTTGAGGGTCGCACCCAGAGTGTTGTGAAGGTTCTGGGACTAAGCCCCGTGTCTCGCTCTGGTGGGAAGGAAAAGCAAAGATGCCCTACTAGAATGTTCTAAGTAGGGCACACTGCCAGACCAAACAGGAATGAACCAGTCCAGTATGACTGGGACGTCCCAAAGTGTACCACAAGTCCCAGACGTGGAGGTCCTATCCCACTAAACACCCGTCAGACACTAGGGGTAAGAATGGACATGGATGCTCCCACCAGCCTCGCACAGTGGCCAAACCAGCACCACTGGTCACCAGCAGGCCTTAGAGCATCCCAGGGGCTGGGAGCTGTGTGAAGGGGCCTTAGGAAGGGGCAGGAAGAAGGGTGCGGTACAGGGCCTGTGGTACCAGAGAGCGCCTCCAGGGGGCAGCAGAGGCCACTGAGTCCCTGTCTACAGGGCAACCTCCAGCAGCACCTACTGTCCCACCCTCCTGTCCTGCAGGGCTGCCTCCAGCCCAGGCACAGTTTCTTGGAGACCCAGACATGGGCCATGTGTGCTCCACCATGCCTGTGCCTCAGTGCACATGTGGTCTGTGCCCGTGAGGGCAGGCAGGGCGACTGAGGACTGCTGTGCGGGGGGCCTAGTGCAGCCTTTCTTGCACTCAGTGCCTGTGCTGTGCCCGCCAACCCCCAGACAGCAACAAACCCACTGCAGTGGCCCCGGGGGTGCCTGGGAACGGGACTCGCCTCTGTTCTTGAGCTGCCCCCCCACCCCTGGCCCCATGGCCCTTCGAGGGCCACCGGGGGAGCAGAGAGGCCAGCGGAGGAAGAGCAGCTGTGGTTGGGCTTCGACTCACCCCGAGGAGCCGTTGGTGTGTGGGCCACCCTGTGGACGTGCCACCTTGCTGCTTTGTTGGCTGCAGTGACTGGCAGAAGAGAATTTCAGTCAGACTCGGTTGGTTGGTTTTTTGTTGTTGTTGTTGGTGGTGGTGGTTTTTTTTTTTTTTGCTTTTTTTTGGGGGGGAGGGGTCACACTTGGCCAATGCATAGAGGTTACTCCTGGTTCTGCACTCAGGAATCACCCCTGGCGGTGCTCAGGGGACCATATGGGATGCTGGGAATCAAACCCTGGTCGGCCGCGTGCAAGGCAAACGCCCTACCCGCTGTGCTATTGCTCCAGCCCCTCGGTTGGTTGGTTTGTGCCCAGACTGACCCATCTGGTGGGAGTCCCGAGGGCTCCTTCGGGAGGAGCAGTCAGAGGTCGGGAAGCACTGGACCCACGTCTGTCTTCAGGCCATCGGCGTATGTTCCCACTTGTCCGGTAGGGATCCAGTAAATTTGGGAGGTGGCTTGGTGGAGCGATAGCACAGCGGTAGGGCGTTTGCGTTGCATGCTGCTGGCCCAGCCGAGCCGGGTTCAATTCCTCCACCCCTCTCGGAGAGCCCGGCAAGCTACCGAGAGTATCTCACCCACACGACAAAACCTGGCAAGCTACCTCTGCCGTATTCGATATGCCAAACACAGTAACAACAAGTCTCACGACGGGGATGTTACTGGGTCTGTTTGAGCAAATCGATGAACAGCGAGAGGACAGACAGACAGACAGGTTTTGCTGTCTTGCAGGGGGCAGCACCCTGGCAGCGGGCACTTTGCTGCCCCCCAAAGCAGATGCCAGGTGGGGACAAGTGAGCCCATGGGGGGGGTGGCCCCAGCCAACGGACTTTGGTGCACTTAAGGGTGAGGGAGGAGGGGGAGCCCAGATCTGCCAGGCACAGGCCTGGAGTTGGGCGAGCATGGCAGTAGTGCCCGTGGCTGCAGGGCTGGGGTGCAGAGCATGGGAGGCTCACACCAGTGCTCTGGGTAGCCCTGGACAGGAGAGCAGTGGGTTGGATGTCGGGAGCCTGGGCGGAAGGAGCAGAGACCGTATCTGGGCTCCCACACGCCCCAGCAGCCCAGGGGCTCCCAGACCCAGGGACTTTAGACCTGAGGCTAGGGTAGGGCTTGCAGCTGGCCAGGATGCGGGGGCTGGCGGGACAGGAGAGAGGGACAAAGGGGCTACAGAGGGTCCTGGTGACACAGCAGGGCAGTGGGAGGCTCCTGGCTCTGTGGGGGATGATGGGGATAGGCAGGGAGAAAGCAGCGGCTCGGTGGACGGGTCCCCTCCAGGAGGCCCAGGGGCAGGTCTAAACCCCATGAGGGCGTCTCCCGTGGGAGCTGGTCCCAAGTCCAGGCTAAGGAGCCCCCAGCTGGGATCTGGGAGGAGGAGCCTCGTGCCTCGTCCCAGGCATGGGGGCACTGAAGCCCCCTCAGGGGCACCTACCTGCTGCCAGACCAGGTTGGGGTGTGCTTAGGGGGTCCTACCAGCACTGGGCAAGAACAGGGGTCCCTGGAGGCAGCATCCAGCCCCAGGAGGGGAGGCCCCTCGAGCACCCCGGTAGTTCCCACCCTGGGCCCTGGGCACGCGGGGCTTGGAGATCTATGGAGATCGGAGACATCCGCCTCTGATCGCGGGGCTCGTCAACACTTGAGTTCAGGCCGCTGCTGCCCACGAGTGTTCCGAGGGGGCACAGGACACGTGTCCTTCCAGCCACAAACCATGCTTGGGCCCCGCTGGCTCCACTTGTCCCCACTCACTTCCCTGACCCTGCCACACCCCCAGCCCCCCAATGACCCACTGTTTCCCCACCATATCCCCTCCCCCACTTCCCCCACCCACACCCAGGTCCCTGCTGCACCTGCCCTCCACAGACATAGCCAGCTGGAAGTCACCATCAGCAAGCTTGGGGGACACCTTGGGGGTGGAGAGGGATAGTCACTAGGGGGCTGCAGCAGAGTCAGGGCTGGAGGCGGAAGGCCATGGGGAGAGACCTGGCCAGGAGCTGGGGAGAGTGGCCCTCCTACAGGGGCCCTTTATTGCCCACAGTCTCTGTACAGAGGAACGTGCCAGGTGGTGGCTGTGTGGGGGTGGGGGGGCCTGGCCTCTCCCAGGGTGTCCGGCCCTCCTGGCCTTCTGCCATCTCCAACTGGAGGCAGGATGGGCTCTGTCAGATGCTATTTCTCCATGCTGAGGCTGTGCCCTGGGGCTGTTTCCAGGCGTCACTTCCTCAGGGCCTCCAGGGACCGTGCACATGGGGGGGGGGGGGGGACTTATTCCTCGCGAGGGGCCTGGGTGCCTCAGATGCGGCCTGCGGGGGGGTCAGTGCTAAAGCTGGTGGTGCTGCCAGACAGCACTCAGAACGTGCCCTGTCGGCACTGACCCTAGTTCAGGAAAACACGAGCCACCGCAGATGAGGGTCCTGCCTGCCTCGGG